CCACTACCACGACTACCACCACTACCACGACTACCACCACTACCACCACCACCATTACCACCACTACCACCACTACCAACCACTACCACCATTACCACCACTACCACCACTACCACCACCACCACCGCCACCACCACCACCACCACCACCACCACCGCCACCACCGCTTCTTTCTGCATGTGCGCGGACATGTCAGTGTTCAGTGATGCAGTTGTGCAGTCATGTCACAGTCATGTCGACGTTGATTTGAGCAGCAGCAGCAGCAACAACAACAACAACAATCACGGCAGCAGCAGTGCAGGACCAGAAAGCTTTGGACAACTGGGGTGGCAGCAGCGGTGGGGCCTGTTATGGGGCGCAGGGACTGCGTGAGCCGGGCGGGGCTTGATGCCCGAAAACCCACGAAACTTTACATTGGAAAAAAAAATGGCCCCACTAGTACGTCGGCCCCTGCAAATTCCTTGTTAGCAGGGCCATATTCTGGGCTCAATCCGAATGTATAGGCAGACTGTGGGGTTTCAAGCCAGTTCAGATCGCACGGGACCATTCCTCACATAATCAGGTGGTGACAACCACGACCCGTGGTACACACGGAACAACTCCTTTATAAAATGGGGGGGGTGACCTCCAAACCCATGCAAAATGGGGTCACCCCCCGTCATTTTACAAGAACTTCCCGGCGCTGTCGAAGGTTACCCCCCCCATTTTATAAAGCCCAATCTGGCCCCGACCCCAAAATATACTATAAAATGGGGGGGGGGGTAACCCCCCATGGGAACGTGAAGGGGGATGCTGTTACCAAGCAGCCCTGGATGGCGGTTCTGCAGGCGGTGGTGGGATCGTGCAGGACGCGTCGTGCTCGCTTTTGCAGCTCCTGCGTGGGAGCCACGCGACCAGATGGTGATGGGCTGCCACTTTTCGTCCATGAGTCCTCCCATCCCCGGTCGAGGCTGCTCAGCATTGGCAAGCTGCACGAATCCGTTGAACTTTGAAGAGCGGGCAGGCGAGGGAATGAGCCAGAGTCTGATAGCGGGATTCCGCCGTTCTGCTTGCGGTGGCAAACTGAGGTCCTTGTGCAGACCATTGCCTGCAGCTGGAGCTGAAGCATTTTCCCGGCTCAGAGGCCGCCTTGCCTAGCGAGGGTAGGACGGGTAGGATTCCGAGCAATACCCCAGACTCTGCGAGGCAGTCATCGCGGAGGTTTGCTTCCAGGACGAATGGGCAAAGAAGGCTACCAGGCCCGTAGCCCGGACTCGCGGGTTTTCCCAGCTGCTTGTGCAGGACCCTACTGGAGATCCTTCGAATGTGTCGATTTCGATTGCTGGAATGGCATCACCGTGGGATTTGAGGTCGCGCACAGATCAGGGACATCCGAAATGGCTGCTGAAGCCGTGGACGGCTCGCTCAGCACGGCCTGCGTGGTCAGCACCGATGGCCGCAGTTTGCTTGTCTTGAAAAATACCTATCGGAGTTAGCCAACGAAACTTTATTCTGTGCGAACATGCGCAGCAAGCACTGTACGGCAGAAGCGTGCCTTAACTTGCCTTAACCATCGAATACGGACTCCTGAAAGAATCTCGTGATTCAGGTACGACGGGAACGCAAGTGCTCGCGTATTCTGTGCCAGATCAGCGGCCTTCCCAGCAAGCTAGATGGCGCACCTTCAGAGTTCAAGAGGGTATTCTGCTTGGACAGAACGGGTTCCCTAAAGGGCTGGTAAGGGCATGCTGCTGGGCAGTGCAGCACAAGACCGCTTCTGGTGTTGGCCGTTCGTTAGAGGTAGGCCAGCAGCCAACAGATGTCCATTTCCTTTGCGACTTCTGGCAGGTGGACGGAAGTGAACGAAGTGAAAGAATTTACGAAGTGACCAGTACGAGCTTTGCCGCTACAGCATTGCCACGGCAAATGCCCTGGCAGTGGGCAGCTCTTCCAGGTGGCGACTGGGAGGATGGACGTCGAGAGTGCGAGAGGCCGAAGCTTCGTGGGAGAATGAACTAGGGGCGTCTGCCTTGATACCGATTCTGTGGGAGATAGTCGACAGCCAAACGGACCACAGCTTGGGCCGGGTCCCCCCAATGCTGCAGGTCAACAGCAACAGCACGACAGCTGTAGCAAACCTGTTGGTTTGCCGCTACGGCTATTGTCGAGGTGGCTGGTGGTACCACTGTGTGTGCAGGGAGTGCCGAGGCGGAGTCGTTTGCCGACCTGGTCCATACTATGCCAGCTCTGAGGCAAGTGAGCCCACATTGCCCATCATCACGGGTGGCCAGCTACAGGCACAACAGCTCACAGCTGGCAATGAGCCCTGTGGATCCCACGTATGACCCTCTGAACCAGTCCCATGCCTTCAGCAACTTGATTTCATGGCGCTTCGGGGTTGTTTGCCGCGGGACTTCGCTCGTGTGCAAGTCCTGCTACGAGCAGCACCACAAATTGTGCGAGGCCAAAAGAGGCGGTGTGGGACGAGCTAACACGCCCCATGAGCACACCAAAGGTCGGTCAGGTTGATGCCACTTTGGGTTGTTTAAATCCTGTCACGATTGTATGTTGTTTGCGCCATGCAACTCAAGCTACAGTTAGATGAGGCCCTGCAGCATGTTTAGCAAACGGAAGGGCCACCAAAAAGCCTTGTCAGCCCTTGCTGCGAGTCAGGAAGCCTCTTTTCGGGGCCATCCTTAGTCGCTCCACTTTTCGTTATAGTGTTTCCTTCTTTGAAGTATCCTAAACATGAGAACGCTTACCCAGAGCATGCACCACGGACTTTTAAGTGTTCGATCGAATCAAGCAAGAGGGTAAGTTCCGGATCCGGAACTTGGCTCTGAACATTTCTCCGACACCCTCGCGAGTGTGCACGGTTAACATGCGGTATCTTCGGCTCGCAAGATATTGTTTCTGTCATATTGAGACAGTTGCCATGGAGATGAGCCGAGATGTTGCGCAGACGTGCGAGGCGCTGCCCTTGCATCAGCACGCTGCAGCTGTTGCTGGTGCTCCTACTCTCCTGTTTTTTGCTACTGCTCTGGCTGCCTATGCTGCTGTATGCGTGCGGCCACCTGTCTTCTAGCTGTCGTTGGCATCAGCTTGCTCCTGGAAGAGTCGCAGCTCCCCGATCATATTTTTGCCGCTTCCTCTCCTTAGCGGTCGGGGTTGAGCTGAGTTGGTTCCATGGTATGGCAGGCACATGTCCAGAACTTCAACCCTGAGAACGACCCCAACAGGCACGGAGTGACGGAGGTTGGATTTTGTCATATCCTCTTCCGAATCTCTGTTGAGACGGCCGATCGGTGACGTGAGGTTCTCAGGGCGGATCAAAGGCTGCTACGACATCGCTTCGGGTGGCGGGCTTGCTTTCATCATCGAACCCCAGTTGCAAATAGTAGCGCAAGTCTACTTCTGAACTTGGTGCCCCTTTGCACCTGTACAGCTGTCACAACAACATGGAGACATTAGGGCAGTACCTATGTTCGTGGAATCTCTGAGGACTGTGAAGGTGCTCGGAAGAGGTATGGACGTGTCTGTCTACTGGCACTCCAGGCACCATTCCGTGAAGCTGCGAGGGAGTTCACTGCAGGTCGGAGCGTTGCGTTCTGTGTCTGGATTCAAAGGCAAAAGGGCGATGCGAAAGTGGGTGAGCTGGTTGGAGCCTTGAGAACGTCCACAATACTGTGCACTTTCTCTTACTCGGCATGCCGTGCAGTTTCCTGATCACCGTTTTGCTTAGATCAGCTTCACTGTCGTCCGGAATGCGAAAGGGGAGCCACAGGCCGTATTCGTGCGATTAGCCGATTGGCGTTGCAGAGTCGGACCGTCCATCTGCCGAAATCGAGGGCACGCGGCCTGCAGGCAAGGAATGTCATGCGCGCGGAGGAAGCCCTGGCTCTCAAAGCCAAAATCCAAGCGCGAGAAAGTTCGGCTCCCGGCTAACTTTTTCCAGAAACTCGTAGCACGAGCAGCAGGGGCAGGAATATGTAATATGCGGCACGGTCTAGGCCACGGTCGCGGGAGTTTGGAGGTTTAAGGTTTGGGTTGAGCGGTTGTGGTCCAGCATGAAGTTCAGGAACCCTGAGGGAAATCATGCCAAGAGTACGCTTCTTGCCTGCAGGGGCTTCATCGAGACACTGCTGAATGGTGTTAGGGGGTTCAACCCCTGATAGCTGCGGTTGCATGGATCCTTTGGGATTGTGCCCCCAAGTCCCTAACAGCCGCGCTTAGGCGAGCTGGTCGCAGTTTTCCCAAGCAGAGACAGATGCTGATGGGTACAATGGGTTTGGGTAGTGTAGGTGTTCCCAGCTGCTCCCATAAATGACCCCAGATTCATTTTTGACTGTCGTGCTTTTTTGGCAAGTGGAGAGTTGAAACTTCCTGCCCCGACAGCTACCCCCCGGACGGCAAAAAATAAAACAAGCATGCTACAGCTACAGCAGCCAAGCAACCAGGCAGGGCAACCATGCCTCCCGAACAGACAACACAATCCCCTTCGCCCTTGTTTTTCTCGTTTATCCTGTTAACAGAAAAATACTCCTGGGTTCTTTTCATCATGTTACGTGGTGCCGGCACGATGAAATGTGCAAAAGGCACATGCGGCTGACATCGAATTCACGGTGTTTTCCGTGGTCGAAGTAATGAATAATACGTCCCCCCCCGCAGTACACCTCGGATCTCACTTTTTCGTTCATGCCGAAGACATGGATATTTTCCATGCTTCCCGCCCGAACATGATTGATGACGTCTGTGCGACCAGCACGTCCAGTGCCCAACCATGGCTCCTATGGTCTGAGAGGAGCTTCCAGTGCCAAACCATCATGACGTCCATGGCTTGATCCGCTCTGTGTTCAGAGCCATCCATGGCCCGATAAGGCGTCCATAGTCTACTCTGCTCTGATTTCAGAGCACCTAGGCTTGCATCGGATTGTCCATTGCTGCCTGGAGATGACGATTGTTCCTGTTTGCGAATAAGACATCGGATATCGTGTGAAAGCGCTTCATTGTGCTTGATTGCAATGGCCATTCATTGTGTAGTCAAGTTCATGCTTGTGAACGCATACGTCTTCCATTTGTCGGTTACTGCGGCTCGTTTGTTATTGCAGGGTATTTGGACGATTATGAGCCGTAAAAACATTGCATCATTGGTGACGCCCTCGAGTCAAGCGATGCCCATTGTGCGTCAAGGTACATTGGTGTACAGGACACCCACTGCCATTCCCTTTGATCAGTTTGGTTGTCGTTATTCGGAAGCACAAGTGATCGCTTTGATGTATGACCTTGATCTTGACGGTTGTGACATTGAACTTCGTGGCAGCACTGACGTTGCTGATTGTGACTATGACGACATGTGCCATGGAGCAACACCGTCCATGGTCTGATCCGCTCTGAGATGACGTCCACGGTCTGATCCGTTCTGAATTCCAAGCATTCGTGACCCAGCAATGATGATGTCCATGGTCTAACCCGCTCTAAGTCCTGAGTTCAGCGCACCCATGGATCAACCATGATGACGTGGGCAGTGGGCAGAACCAATTTAATATCGACGGACGCTGCTCGCCAAAGGCGAACACGTAGACACACTGGCCGTGAGAAGACTTCTCGACAGCCCTGGCCTTGAAGCAGCAGGCTTGGACGCACGCCAGAGGATTTCCTGCATCATTCTTGAATTCTTTGGTGGATCGCGCATGGCTTTTGCGACCGAAATACAAGGTGCCCGTAGTCATGTGCCATGCACATCCGTAGACCCGAAACCCCGCGAGGGAACGAGCCCACAAGCCCTGCACCTTCAAGCCCCAGACCCAGAAGCCGAAACAAGTGCTACAACCGCATGAAGCAGCCTAAATTCCCGATAGCTTTGTGTGCACATGCTTAGCAACATTATGCGTTGACACAAATGCCTCGTAAATTTCGATATGTTCACGCAGGTGCACGGCAATATTCAGAATGTTACTGCGGCTGCGCCTCTGTGATGAACCTAGAGACCTAGAGTGACCGAGTCCACCAAAATACGAGGATGCCACAAGTACCGATGCTTTCGGCCTTTATCGAAACGTAAGAATGGCGGACGCACAGAACCTCGGACAAAACCGATGCTTGCAAGTACCGATGTAAACGACATGAGTGCTGTGCGCATTTCGTTTGCATCGGCGTTGTTTTACCCATGCATATGGCGTGTTTGCTCACCTGTGCACCTCTGAAAGTGGGCTTTCATCGACGTGGTTGGGTATGGATAGAACGGTTAAGCCCACTGTGCAGCAGATTTTTTTGTTACCTCAATACCTTGCCACATATATATATATATATATATACATACATACAAGATATGTATACACCTATGCCTGCCAGTTTCCAAGCATGCTCCTGCCGTGTTCCTGCAGTCTCCTAATGTCTTAAGGTTTCTTGCCGGGCAATGCTTCTTGACATTATTCTAATCTTGTTGGAGAGTTTCACGTCGATTTCAGCTATGTCTCTATAGTTTACCTATGATCTCGTCCTAGAAGCTGTATTTTCATCGTATGTTGCGGTTGAGCTCCCCGGTCCACCCGTCACGCGCCACAGCAGCGAAAAAGTGAATAACACACGTGCACAACTCACACACACTCACACACTCACACTCACACTCAAACTCACACTCACACTCACACACACTCACGAACCAAGGCTGCAATAGCAAACAAAAAAAGCAAACAAAGCGCCCTGCCATCAAACTTCCGGTACCTTCCGGTCCTCAAATCCTATAATTCCCTGCTATATATGAACCCTTCCCAGACACGGCGGCACCGTCCATGGAAGGCGTGACATGCGCGCCGGTGCAGCAGCCGGGGTGGCCGGTGCTCACCAACGCGCATGTCCCTCCGCCACCACCGCGGGAAGAACTTCGCCAGGCATCCGGACTTGGTAAGCAGTGTTCGATTTATTGGGTTCTTTCTGACTTCATGCACGTAGCACTAGACTCACTAAAGTATGTCAACCAGTAGTTGCTTCGATCATGCATGCTGCCCATAGAGTACTATAGATCCGTAGAGTCCTACAGATCAGGTTTGGCCTTCGCATATCATGTCAGATTGTGTATTAGAAAACTTACTTCTTCATGCCCATAGCGAACTCAGATGAGCAGTGCATTTTTGTAGCCGTAGGAGCTTGTACAAAGCGGAGCCCCCAACATAATCTTACATCGTGTGCGCAGCCATTCTGTGTGCGGCACATAGTAGGTTCAGTAGATCCGAGCAGACTCCACGAAATGGCTCCTTCAGTATAGGCTTCGAAAGGTCGATATTAATTGGGTTGTGGCGGAGCGCACTGTGCGTGGGCATTGGCATCGGCCGCGCATAGCCTTGGGCATCATTTTTCGGCATGTATAGGATTTTCGTTTTTGTGCCGTAGACACCAGCAACAGTTTTTTGTATTGAATGAAATGGGTTTCGTGGCTATGGAAGCCAAAACTGCATAGGCCTGCGCGGGCGACCGTAGCTCAGACGTGCCTGTGCAGGAAGTTTCTCCAACAGTGCTACGGTACAGCATCACCCTGCGTAGAGCAGCCCATACAACACAAACCACTACTCAAATAGAGATCCTAGTTTGTAGGCTTTTGGGATTTCAGGGCAACTTGTTCGCCCTCAAGCCCCAACTGCTCCAACATCAGACGGCGCTGTCAATCATGTAAAGAAGCATGATCGCTTCCAACCCGGGGCACCCAGTACGCAATCCCAACTGGGCTGCTCCTTTCGAGAGCCCCACGCATGACCTACTCACTAATCGGATTGTTCTCCTTTACTTTGCCACTTCATCATGCAGCCTTGTAGGCCCTGCGCCGCGAAGCTTCCCATCTGGAGATGTCCAGCAGCGGCGGAAGTGGTGAGGAAGATGGATGTTGTGGGCTCAGGGTGTGATATCTAAGTCACCAAGCCTCGAACCCTAACCCAGTTCAGAACGAAAGGACTGCACCGAATACCGGATTACACCACACTAACCCGTAGCAAGTCCAAGTAACACACAACAACCCATAGCAAGCACTACTCATACTGCTCAAAGGATCATTGTCCCCTGCTTTTTGTTTGCAAACTTTCCCGTGGAAGGAAGCCACAGCTAGGCCAAAACTTGCCTAACCGGGACCTCGGTCGGGCACCAACAGAGACCACCAATGAGAAAACAAGTCAACTCCCAGCTCTTCGTCAAGTGGCGCCCTAGAATCCTAAAACTCGCCGTACGGCCGATATCACCTGGGCTCATCCGATCCTCGGCGACCATCGAGCAGCCTCAGGGTTGGCTGGCACTTGTCGGGTTTTTTAGGGCTCATTGCTGAAGAGGCAGGAGGGGACAAGTGCCGGCCTTTAATTTGCAGTTAGCTGAGGGCAGGCTGAACTGCACGTGCAAGCGGCAAAAGGATCTGGTCGTTACGTGATCTTCTGTGTGTGTGTGTGTGTGTTTGTGTGTGTGTGCACATGCCTGCCCGTGCCCGTGCCCGAGTGTGCCGGTTTGTGAAGGCCGGTCGTTTTAAACACATTTTGGTTTCAACTTTCACAATGCGAGCTTCCAACACGGCTGTCACATGTCAAGAATGGCATGGAAACTTTGAAACACACTTGTTCCAACTCCTGCAGTGCCACACATGAAGCCCGAACGATGGCGAACATATTTAAGCCCGTAGTGTTTATGCTGGTCCTTGAGTGCCACACATCCCGAATATGCTGAGACCAATGCCAAGACGAATGTTGAAATGCGTATCCTTGCGTGACTCACATCCCGAAAATGCTCAAACCATTGTTGAACCGCGTGTTTAAACGGCGCCTTGAGTGCCATGTTTCACCAATGTTTAAGCGCATGTTTAAGCTGTTCCTTGAGCGCGACACTCCCGTCCGGGACAGAGGTTAAGGGAATCTTTCGGGAGGCAAGCATTATGGTGGCCACGGAGTTTGGCGGTCGAGGCATCGACTGGCACCAGGCCAGCTTGAACTCTTGATGCTTCGTGGCATTTGGCAAGTCGCTGAAGCTCAGGTGGATCATGTCATCAATTTCCAGATGCCGACAGGCTCGTGAAGCAATTGATAAACTACATAGCTTCTGGATCAAGAACGTCCCTCGCAACGCAGCTTTTCCTCGGGTTGCACTATCGTCATGCCTGGCCCGCTCAATCCGGCGGTTTCGTGACATGCGCTGCATCATGTAGCAAGTGTCCTGCGCGCTCCGCAGAGCCTCGTAGCGTGGTGGAAACATCCCTTGCCCCGCTTCGTTTTATATCATCTTGCTTGTGGAATTCTTCCACGTGTTTTGCACGAATATAGAAGCCGAGCAAACGCTTTAGTCTCTCAGGTCCTCTGCGCCGTACTGGAAAAAAGTGCGACGTTCTGCGTTGCAGGTGCAGTCTGTTGGCTTCACCGTGTGGGCCGCACAGGCCTTCGCCTGATAGTGATGCGCACAAGAGCCCCTGTGGTCACTAGCGGAGCTGCGCTGGGAGCGCCCTGCGCTGGAGTGAGCCACGTTCTCTGACAGGTCGCATGGGCCAGCAAGGCCTTGTGACAAACTTCATCGGAAACAAGGACCAGGCATCCACAATGATGCTGTGGAAGGAAGCTGCGACCGACCGGTTTTGCTCAGGTCTTGTCGAAGCTCATTCGAGAGCAACTGCATGCTGGTGAGGCAAGTGGTGGTAGGGCCAGCAATGTGGGGTTTTGCAATGCCCAGGTACCTGCAAGCAGAGTTGAATTCGGAGTTACATCTGCCCCCATCAGGACCTGCACACTCTCTTTTCCAGAAAGAGATCATTGCAGGATACTCAGATGCTTTTTTGTTAGCTAGGTAGACCACCGGGCCATGTTTTTTTTTTTTTCGAAGGTGCGGCCAACCCTTGTTTGCGAGGTGCCGCCAAGGGTCCCTGATGCATGCGGTCCCCTGGTCCTCTGGTCCTTGGTCCTGTGGTTCCCTGGTCCTCCGGTCTGCTGGTCCTCTGGTCCTGTGGTGTCCGTGCATGCGGTCCCCAGTCCTCTGGTCCTTGGTCCTGTAGTCCTCTGGCGCTCTGGTCTGCTGGTCCTCTGGTCCCGTGCTCTCCTGGTCCCGTGGTTTCCTGGTCCTGCGGTCCGCCGGTATAATATAATGTAATATAATATAATGTAATGTAATGTAATGTAATATAACATAATATAATATAATGTAATATAATGCAATATAATGTAATATAATGTAATCGGTTTAGGTTTTGGTGACTGGGTACTTCTTTGTCTCGAGATTGGAAAGGGCTATGTAGCTGCTGTCATCCCTTTCACCTCGTGTCCGACTTGTGGCCTGCAATGCGGTCTTCGACCTGCCAAGTGGGAGCCAAAAAATGTAGTATAATATACTGTAATATACTACAACATAATGTAATATAATAAAGAAATACAATATAATATAAAAAGATATAATATAATATAGTATAATATAATATAATAGAATAGAATAGAGTAGAATATAATATAATATAATATAATATAGTATAATATAATATAATATAATATAATAGAATATCATATAATAGAATAGAATATCATAAAATAGAATATCATAAAATAGAATAGAATAGAATATCATATAATATAATAGCATAGAATAGAACATAATAGAATATAATAGAATATAACAGAATATCATAGAATATAATAGAATATCATAGAATATAATAGAATATAATATAACATAAAAGATTATAGGATAATATAATGGAATTTAATAGAATTGAAAAGAATATACTATAATGTAATATAAGAGAATAGAATAGAATAAACTAGACAAGAATATAATAAAGAGAATATAATATAATATATACAGTATATAGAGTCTATATAGTTTTGTTAATATATATATATAGAGTTTTTATATATATATATATATATAGTATATATATATATATAGTATATATACTATATATATATATAGTATATATAGTGTATATAGTATATATAGTATATTTAGTGTACATAGTATATAGAGTATATATATACAGATATACATAGAGTTTCAATATATATATATATATATAGCATATGTAATAAGTACAGGAGATATAACCTTAGTATATATAGTTTATACAGTATATATAGTATATATAGTATATTTATAATGTATACATATTTATATAGTATATGTAGTAGAGTTAGTATATATAGTATATATAGTAGATATAGTAGATATTATAAAATTGTATGTATATATATATAGTATATATATTGTAAATTATATATATATATATATATATATATATATATATATTTATTTATATTTATATTTATATTTATATAGTGTATATAGTGTATATATATACACAGAGAGAGAGAGTACATATGTGTGTATATAGATATATACATATATATATACACATATGGAAGGCCTATTATTTTGGATCTTGTTGTTGAAATTTTTGTTTGGTGTTTTTCCATGGTTTTCCTTGGGGAAACACTATTTTCCTCACGTTTTGGACAGATTTGGTCTGCTTTTCTTGGTTTTTCCACCTGAAACGAAAAGAACCCACGAAGACAGAACGAAACACCCCAGAACAAGGACCAAATCAAGGAAGAAGAACAGAAAGAAAGAAAAGATAGAAGGAAGGCAGACGGTTGGAAATTCAGGTTCGGAACCCAGGTTCAAACCTGGGTTTGAACCTAGGTTCTAATTCGGGTTAGAACCCAGGTTCAGAACACGGATTTTCTCGGGTTGTTGATTCAGCGCGGTTAAGCGCGAAGCAACACAATCAATCATGAAAGGCTTGGAAGTTCTCTTGAGCCACGAAGTAATCAACAATAACGTGTTTGCCAACCGGTCGTTTGAGCCGCCACGAAATAAATAAAGCCGTGTTCGCCAACACAAAAAAAGAATAACACCAGACAACACTGCTTCAGGGGGGTTTAACGTGAAGAAGACAAAATCAATCCTGAAGGATTTAAAAGGTTTGCAAATGGGGGGGGGGCTGCGCCCCCCCCACCCCCCCCGCTTTTTTTAGACTAAACTCCCCCGCTCTCTAAAGCCACACAAGAAAGGGAAAGCCAGACAACCACGCTCCAGGGGAGTTTACCGCGAAGAAAGCACAATCAATCCTGAAGGGTTTAACAGCTTTGCAAATAGGGCGAGTTCCCCCCCCAAACCCTCGCTGTTTTAGACTAAACTCCCCGCTCTCTAAAGCCGCGAAGAAATGAACATAAACGTATTCGGCAACACACAAGAAGGGGAAAGCCAGACAGCCACGCTCCAGGGGGTTTAACGCGAAGAGCAGCAACAACAACAGCAACCAAGACGACGACCACGACGACATCAACGACCCCACCACCACCAACGACGACAGCAACGACATCAACGACATCAACGACACCACCACCGCCACCAAGGCAAATAGTCTTGGAAATGGCTGCATTTCCCATTATTTTTTCTTTAGTTTTTCGTTGATCCCTGGATCTAATTTGTTTTTGATGATGAGTTTTTTGATGCCTCACCCCGTCCACAGGGATCCTGCCCCTCGAAGCGCCCGCGCTGTGGTGCGGCGCGACCCCGATGAACCTTCTACAGGGATTCTGTGTGTCGAAGCTCTGGCGCTGTGGTGCGGCGCAAATTCTTTACGTCGCCGATGAACCCTCTACAGGGATCCTGCGTGTCCAACCTGAACAAATCCTTGGCCGCACCTCCGAAAAAAGAGGGTTGGCCGCACCTCCGAAAAAAAAAAACCCCGCCGTAGACCACCTCAGTCAGAGACCCGGAGACAGACGAGAGGAAGGAGGATCAAAGGGAGAGCCAGGGAAGCACAGCGACAGAGCACGGCGACCCCAGTGCACGGACTCGTGCGAAACAGAAACTCACTGGCACTGGAACACTGGTGTAACATCTGCGAAACCTCCACACGACGGGCCTTGTGCACAGGGGCTTTCAACCTGCCCTCTTCCCGAGGGACGGCGGGCATTCACAAGGTTGGGGCTAGTTGGACGTCGCCAGAGCAAATTCCCACGACCCCAGCTCGAAGCAAAATCTGAACCGGCCTGATTTCGAAGCCCCGAGCGTCCCGAGACTTTCTGCTGAGGGAGCAAAAACCAACTTGCAACAACAACAGTTTTTGTTCAACCCGACCGGAGCCTCGAAACTACCATAAGTTGGCATATCAAACCTCAGCACCCCTCCAATCTGTGCATCAGAAAGAAGGTAAGGACGAATGGCGGGGGAGCCAGATACAAATTTTTGCGGGCAGTACTGTACTTCGACATTGCCCAAATCCAGGAACGGACGCGCACCTGAATGATTGGATTGTGCTCGAAAGCTTCTTTCGCTCGGTAATTGATGCGAGGATCACCTCATCACGTTAGCTTGTACGTCTACGTGATGTAACAGCTGCAGGCGCAAACGGCTTCGCAACCGCACAGAGGATGATGGCTCTGGGCCCAGATAGCTACAGTTTCCCGGAATTCGTTTCAATGCAGGAAGTGTACTCACAACAGCAACCTATCACTGGTGCTGCGTTCGCTAGGCTTTCTGCTATGCTGCTGCTTGGCGAGACATTTTTCCATTCCGCTGCTGCGATGTGGCTCGCAAGACCAATTCAAATCTAGAAGTCTCATTCATTGTTCTAACCTGGTAGGTTCATGCTTGAAACCGCACCCGGGCAAGTCAACAGGAGATCAGGGACACGCCGCATGGCCCGTTGTGACGGTTAGCATCCTGAACAAACATTTCACACTCCTTCTACCATTGTGTCGCTGCAGAATCTGTGTTGCAGATGAATGTGCCATCGCCTGCTGCTGGAACCCGCGGTTCAGCGCCAAGAAAGGCTGTGGAGCCGCAGCTCAGCTTTGGAAGGAGCGCGGGATTTTGCAGGACCATACCAACTTCTTGCCGGAAAAGTACAGTAGAGTCACATCCCGTTGGGTTCGCCCTTCGAGAGGCTGTATGTTTCAACTCGGGAAGTGCAAGTCTGTCCCTGCCAGGACGAGGCTTTGCACAAGGCAGCTGGAATCTGAATCCTCCTACTTGCTGCAGCACGGATATGTCTAGAAGCACTGGATTCGGAGTTATTTGCTCCCATGTGAAATTATGTGAAACTCTCTGGCTCGTTTTGCTGCTCTCTGTTCTTCAACGTTGAATCCAAGGACAGGCTCAATTGTTGGACTCGTCGCCGCAGCGACCAATCAGCGATCAAGGCCGCCAGTGCCAAGAAGAGCCTCAATCTGGCAGCTTGGTCGCGACAGGTGGCAACTTTGGCGAATATTTGTTTGCATGCAGTGCAGGACGTGTGAGTTTGTGCCTCAGGAGTGCACGACCTGGATGCTTCCTGGCTGGCAAGCCTTCCTTTGGGCTCATTTGGATTGTGCTGGCCTACGTGCTCTCCTCCATGGGCGTTTATGGTGCGGAGGGCAAACCTGGGGAGGGGGACGGGTCAAAATGTCAAGCTGCACGCATGTGCGGGGTTGAAGTGGTCTGGCGTTAGGCCTGGTGTAGAAACTATGGCTCGAGACGTCAGGATTAAGTGTGGGTGGCACCGTTTAAGGTTGAGGGCTTAGGGCTCAGGGTTTGAGCTTTGGGTTGGGGCTCAGGGGTGGGTTTGTGCTCAAGTCCCGTGTAAGGAGTTGATTGAAGTCAGGATTACGGCTGGCGGTCAAAGGCGTAAGTGCAGGTTTGTAAGCGGCATGCGTGGGGCATTGTGGGCTAGGACAGGATTTATGGCCGGTTCGGCTTTAAATGGCTTTTGTTCTTTTATGTAGGTTTTGTCGCAGGACTGGGCCTGGGGAGTCAACTTGCCTCTCTGTGTTCCCTCCCTAAGAAAGGCCGCTGGCAAGGATTTGTGCACCGTGGGTTTCAGTGGAGGTTAGACTTTCGGGTTTAGGCATTTCAGGTTTGACGATTTTGTATTTTTTGGCGATGGTGTGTGTCGCGGGTATGGGTAGGATGATGGTTCAGGATTCGGGTTAAGCGGACATGGGGTGTGGTTCAGGAATGACTTTCGATCGGATCATATTGAAAACTTGCAGCATAGTGGCAGTCTTCCGTTTTCAAGCATGTGCAAATATGCATGTGTGGCATGTTTGTTTTAAAAAATGTCAATTTTTTCTCGCTCTCTCTCCCTGTGTCTGTATATAAACACCGTAGACACATGTGTATGTATATCTATATATATATATATATATAGATAAATGTTTACATGTATATTACATATGTGGTACCCCCCAAAGACTTTATGTATTTTATCTGTTTTCAGCTCTTTCCCCTCACGAGCATCTCCTCATGACCATCCTTCCACTCACGATCGTCTCCCTATGACCGCACAAACAACTCTTTCGACTCACGAAAAAAGTCTTTTTGGAGGCCTGGGGAGCTGGCCTGAAAGACTGGGCAAGACTGGTTTTCTGTGATAGTACAGCACTTTGCAAGAAGTTAGCCAAAGTGCTGCACTGTTTCAGAAAAGGCCGTCTTGGGGAGGATTCGCTGAGTGACCCGCGCGGTGCAGAATGTCTTCTTGCGCCCTATTAAACCTATTAGCGTTCTAATTTGCAGAGGCCTTGTGCTTTGCCTCACTGACAGCTGGTTTTTTTTTCAAATTCTGACTCATGGACTCACTCCGAAGCTTTGAACCGCAGCAGTACTTTGGGGAAAGCAGTTTGCTCACCTGAGGTATCAAACCATGACATGTATCACACGTAGCAATGACATCTTTTTGTGTTTCACATTTATTTTGTTGGTATTTAGATGTTTGTGATGATGATAAACTTACTAGAGTGAAACTTAGTCTGGTTGTTGTGAAAGTGTACAACACTTACAGCCATTACCACGGTCTGTAATTTTTCTTGGAGACGGCAGAAGGGTGTATTTTGTTGTTGGCTGTCAGTCTCACTGACTGTTCAATGTTTGCGTTTATCCGATTGCACAAGTCCTCATGCAAAAGGATGGTAAACGTGATGCTTGAGATTCAGTGCGCGCTATTAAATGATTAAATCTGCTGGGCAAATGAAATAGAATAGTGTAAGTGAAGGAGTGTCTTAAAGTTAGTTCCACTTAAGTAACGAAAATTAAACATATTTTGGGCTTTATGAGAGAATGAAAGCTGGCCCAAGGCAATTTAGCAGGAGTTTGGTTACTAGCACAAGGGCAAGGCGGTAGTAGTATACCTGGATCAAGGCTAGAACCTGAACGTTATTAATCTTCATGTTTGGTTGCTACTCTTACTAGTTGATTGTAGTAGTAGTAGTAGTAGTAGCAGTAGTAGTAGTAGTATTATTATCGCTCTTGTGGTGGTTTGATACAACCATCTTGATAAGACTTAAACAAGTGGTAGAAATTTGCCTAATACCATGACACCAAAGTTAAGAGTAATATGGTGAAGATTAATGGTTCAGTAGAAATAGTTGTCGTAGCACGAGTATCTGGTAATAGTAGCATGAGTAGTAGCAGCAGCAGCAGCAGGAATAGTAGTGGTAGTAGTAGTAGTAGCAGTAGTAGTAGTAGTAGCAGTCTAACAGCAGCAGTAGTAGTAGTTGTTGTTGTTGCTGTTGTTGTTAGTAGCAGTAAGTAGTAGTAGCTGGAGCATATGCCACGACAAGAAACAGAGCCACGAAACTGGTGCTTGTTTTCAAATTTTAGTACTGTGTTATGCTACGCATAAGCAGCAGGCACAAAAGAATCGATACAGAATCTATTGGTGTTTGAGTTCCTAACTTCAATGACACAGCAGTTACATGGTCGAGAATGGGGGGGGCGGGGTTACCATCTCAATGGCAGTAGTAGGAGCAGGCACAGTAGTAGCAGCAGCTGCTGCGAACAGGTCGAAATGCATGGGCCATGGGTCTGTTGGTATAAAGGGGGTTTGGGGAGTGGTGGCATATAAAAATAAATGTGTATATATATATATATATATGTATGCTTCCCCCCCCCCCCCCCCAAAGATCCGCGCTTTTTGGCGTTATTCGGAAAGAACTCCCTCAAATAGGACTCAAATAATCCGAAAGAGCCCTTCCATTCCACAGCACTGCCTGAAAGGCATCGGTTCCCACATCACCTACAATACCATGTATATGCAATATGTGTGAATCCTCATGTATGTCTTTATGCGTATGGCATATGGTACACGGGTGATGGAAACAAAGCATAAACTTACAGAAGGAGGAATATACGAATACAATCAAGCACGACTACACTTCTGAAGCGAAGAAGACAACGACAATGTGGTGTCTTGACATCGGGTGATCGGGGATGGAGACAAACGATGGCACACTGATCGTGACGGAGATGACGATGCCGCGAAGACGATGATTGTGATGGTGTTGAGGACGAAGATGTCGATGGTGATGTCGGTCATGAGGATGACGGTGAGTCTCAAGGGCGCATACCACAGACCCATGTCAGTCATTGTGGCATGTGGATGAAGTTCGGTGGTTCTCTGAGACTCCATGCGTGAGGGAAATGGCATTCTATAAGGCCTATAAAGGGCATAGTATAGCGTATTTCTTTTACGTATTCCATAGGAAATTCCATAAGGCGTTGTGGGAGCTGCATAAATAAGGCGTTGTATAAAGTATGGTACAAGGCATAGGCATAAACGAAAAATCGTATTATAGAAAATATTCTGTAACGTATTGTATAGGCTATAGGGTATTCAACAAGGTTCATAAAGGGTATATAGGGCTTGGATAGTCTAGGGTTATCTATATGAAATTTTTTAAATGTAAAGAAGGAGTACCGTGTAAGGTATTCTATAGGCTATTGTTTTTGACTTCTTCATTGGGCACATAGCAGGTATGGTGCAGAGCATTCTGCCCCTGATTTTCCCCTCATTAATCCGTTATTTTTAAAGTATTCTACAAGGCATTCCATGGTGCATCCTACAGGTATTTTACAGGATATTCCCTGGGGGTTTTCTTTAGGCCTTCCTATGGGGTACTCAAACGGTATCATAGACACTGGGTATTCTGTAAGCTACTAGTAGTCTGTAGGGGATTGCAGATGATATTCTATAAGGCCTATAAAGGGCATAGTATGTAACATGTGTTTTGGGCGCTCTATGGGGTACTCCATAAAGCATTGTATAAGGGATTGTACAAGGCATCAACATAAACGTAAAAGATATCTTGTAGAAAGTATTCAAAAACGTAATGTATAGGGTCACCTTTACGACAGTCTTTGAGGTTTGTGGTATTCTCTAGAATATTCCTTTCGATTCCTGGATCACTCCTAGAGATCCCTTACCCAATAAACTGCTTCTTTTTGAGGGGTCTCAGATCTTGGGCTCGTCCTGATTGTCCTCCTATATGTCCTTTGTTTGAAAGGTTATCTATAGGCATTCTTACTTTCAACATACCTGTGGGGGAGGGGGGTAAAAAGGTTAAAACTTTCGCATTAAGACTACCTTATAAGGGGCCAAAAGCTGAAAAGTTTGGTTTTGAACCACTAAGTATTAGATGGGTACAGAGTATATATACTATGTACAAGGACTGTCATATATAGGGCCATAGGGGCATTCAAAAAGTCGTATTCTGTAAGGTACTCTAGGTATTTTATAGATATACGGGCTATGACTGACAGTATATGATACGGTATTCTAGAGGCTCTAGGGTAGTCAATAAGGCATAAGGGTAGTCTATATCAGTGTATTCTCTATGAAAGTTTTTCAGATACATGAAGGAGGTATTCTAAAGGATATCCTGTGAGATATTCTATTCGTGTCTCGTATAGAGTGTTCTATGGGGTATATGTAATATGAGGCGTGCGGGGTGTATCATATATAGGTGGTCTTGTATAAAGTAGTCGACAGGATATTCCAGATGGATCTCTATAAGATATACAGGTTATGAGAGTGGAATTTTGCAAAAGTATTCTAAAATGTGTTCTAAAGTAGGTTAAATACAAGGTATTGCACACGTAGGCTTAAGTATCAGGCGCTGCGGATCAGCTCACAGTGCAATAATACACAGTGGCATGCAGCGAACGACGCAGGATTGAAATTGGATTGAAGGATTGAATTTCAATCCGAAGCCGGACCCAAGATCGAAGACCCAAGATTCTCCCGGGAGTCTTTGGGCAGAATCTTGGATCCGGGTTGAAACTGGATTCAAGGATTGATTTTCAATCCGGGCCCGGATCCAAGATCCAAGATTTAGCCCAGAGAGCCCTGGGGGAATCTTGGATTTTGGATCCGGGCCCGGATTGAAATTCAATCCTTGAATCCAGTTTCAATCCAGGTCACAGTACTGCAAAAGTTGAACGGACTTTGCGTATGTGTCTGTGTGTGTGTGCGTGTCTGCTAAATGTTGAGGTATTCACGTGGGAAGACAGACATACAAACGACATGAAGAACAAACAGGCAGGGATTGCACACGAAGAGCTCCAGACAGAGCCAAAAAGTATGGATTTCTTGGGGGGGGGGGGGGGGGGGGGGGGGGGGGTGTGGGGGTGGGGGGGGGGGGGGGGGGGGGTGGGGGGGGTGGTTTACCATTAGATAATATATATATATATATATATATATATATATATATATATATGGTAGCATATAGAGGCACTCGCACGAGGTCTGCCATCGTTACATCGTTGGTAGACTGCCTAAGCCGTAAAAGCACAGCAAAGAAAGAACACAGATCTTTCGAGGGGCGGGGGGGGAGTATATATATATATATGTATATATATATATACATGTATACATACACACATACCTGTGTGTACATGTATTTATATGTCACATGCATGTATGTGAACATAGATGTCTATGTCTATGTCTATGTCTATGTCTATGTCTATGTCTACGTCTATGTCTATGTCTATGCCTATGCCTATGTCTATGTATATGTGTATAACCGACCGAATCAATCACATTATACGTAAAGGTTCCTGCCTCATGTATATGTATATGTATATGTGTATGTATGTACACGCGTACTTATGTATGTATGTATGTATGTATGTTTGTATTTGCGTATTTGTGTATGTGCGTATGCGTGTACGTGTATGTATGCCTGCCGGCCTCAACCTTTTGGCGAAGTGCAGGTGTGTGCGAGGGTTGGGGCCCAGAAGACAGCGTTTACTTCTCCATCACTGCCCTGACAACGGCCGCTTGGATGATTCATTGATGTACACCTGGAGAAGTATTTTGTACATATATATATATATACACATATGTACATATGTACATATGTATGTGTATGTATATATATATATATATATATACATACACAGAGGACTGACAGAGGACATATCCACATCTGGACGTGCTTGTGTGCACATATGCATGGATGGCTGAAGATGGATGGCTGGATGGATGGACGGATGGCTGGCTGGAGGGATGGATAGCAGGATGGACTTCTCTGTGTTTGTCTGAGTGGCGATGCGATGTGCACGAATAGAGGGGGAAGCTTTGGCCATGCAAATTTCGCAAGCTGTGTCTCCGCGCAGTGTCAAGCGTAACGCGGGTGCTTTTAACCCTGGGACTTCCTGTGGCTTTCATGCTTCTGCTGGTCACGTACGGCGACCTCCCCTCTCGCAAGCATTAGGGCTGTCGCAAAGCTTGCCTTCCCTGTTTGACGAGAGTTGACCAAGCAAGTGCTACTGGAACAAGGGCTGGGGAGTACAGTACCCCGAATCGGAATGGGTAGCTGTATGCTTTCAGCAACCCAGACTGTGCTGAATGTCAAAGCCGCTAGGATTGTACCCATGGAGTGTGTAGAGACGCACCGAACCATGTTCGGATAGATGCTGAGCAGTACATCATTGGATACTATTGCGATCAGCACAAAGAATCCGGCCAGGTGTGTTTACATTGGCAGAAGCACAATCCCTTCGCAAAGTTTTCGGGTTCAAAGGGTGACAGATTAGTTCGGAGTGTGATTACGCCTGTGCTCCCTCCACTCAAAGGTGGGCTACGGAGATCTGGCACCTTCACACCCCGCCTCAAGGCCTGTGCAAGCGATCGTGGAGATTTTGAGTTTGCTGTTTTCTTGCCAGCCGAACATGAACTTTTGCGGCAACTGCTATTCGGTGCCTGCAGTCAAGTTGCACGGCTTCTGCTGCGAAGGCTGTTTTTTAGCTTTGCCATCCTCTTGGCTCTCGTGCTACTCGCTGCTAGATTGAGCGCCCTGGACCCATTTGCAGACATTGGCACATTGGTCTTCAGACCCTGCTCGGTTTGTGTTGCTGGAACATGTTCGTCATCAAAGGTAGCTTTGTCCACGAGCTTGTCCAGAGGGAGACGGGTACAGCAGCTGGGAGGTTGAACCAGCAGTTGAAGATACGTTTGGGTGGAGCATCGGATGAAGACATTGACATCTTCGATGAAGAAGGTCGGCATGAGGGGTTCTGATGTGGTAGCATGTCCGCCTCCCCCTACGAAGACGCGTGCTGGTTCAGCCCAGCTCGAGGTGAGCGACGCCGCTTGAGATCGAGAAGCCCGCCTGCGGTGAAACGGTTTGGGTGACCATCACCTAGTTGAGTGATTTTGTTCTTGTGATGGCGCCGAGGATTCAGACGGCAGTTGCAGCTGCTGACGATGTATTTGCTCTTGAGCTCTTTCATATCGAAACGTGCTCTCGGGCTACCTAGTTCGTGGGAGGTGCGTAGTGGTGCAATGACCAAAAATGCTGAAGGAAAGAGTTCCGGAAGTGCTTTCAGGATTTCGTCCTGCCAGGCCCTCTATTTCAGTGTGGTGACCTTAACCACGATCGGCCTTGGCGATCTTGTTCCGCAGACCCCCGAAGCGAAGTGGATCATTTCTCTGCTGTGCTTGGTCGGTGTTCCAATCTTCGGCCCCTCAGAGCAGATTTAACCGGCTCGTGCGAGAGAAGAAGATGTGGGATCTTTCAAGCTTTGCTGCATTTACACGTTCTAGGATAGATAGTAGTTAACTACGGCATTATACTATGGTAATGAGAGTAGTTATGGTTTTGTACCTGCCGTCGGAGTTGAGTTGTTCCGGTTCTCAGGCGCCACCTTGGCGGAGCTTGTGGCGCTGATCTACGGAGAGCGACAGCGAGGCATCAAGCAAAGGCGTGGAGCGCTGCTCAAGCTTCAGGGGTTTCAGGGTTTTCGGGCGATTGCACCAAGTCCTTCTGCAACAAAAAGGCTTCTTTCGAGGTGAGGCCTCAGTTTAGGAGTCTGGGATCGGAAAGAAAGCATGTGGCCACTGGGAAGAAGCGAAAGGATGCATCGCTGGAATGCTTTTCAGGGTGAACACGTCTTGAACTGCTGAGTTTGGCCGGATGGTAGTTGGACTTCCAAAAGGACAGGACAGATAGACAGCTGCAGGATGCCGCAGGCGTAGGAGAGCATATGGACGGTTGTGAGCGGCTGTCATGCTTCAGGCAAGACTGCAGGCATGGGGGTGGAGAGCTTCAAGTTCAAGAAAGCGCCCGACCTGTGTAACTCTCAAGCTCGTGCCAGGCTACCGAACCTCACAGTTGCAAGGCTGCTGAAAATGAGGAAGTTTGCAGAGGAGCGCAGTTGGCCTGCTGTGGCGCCGAGAACGCTGCAAAAACTGTGGCATTTGATGTCCTGCAGCACAGATGTGTCCTTTCTGCGCCCCACAAAGGCATGCGGTATGCCATACCGAAGTTTTGTCAAGTTCAGGAGCTTCACAGTCGCGGACTGTTGGATAAGAAGGCGGAGAGTGAATTTCGAAAGCTGGGAGAACACAGGACTGAGAAGCATGTAAGTCTTGCATGCTTGACCGTTGCTGTCCTTTGGAAGATCTGCTGGACCCGACATTAGCGCCTGACAGCCCTGCAGGATTTCACAGTTTGAGTTTTGCTGCTTCCTCCTTGTCCAGACTTTCGGACCGCAAGTTTTGATGTTGCTGGTGATCATGAGGCTGAGGGGCGGACTGTGGACCTATGACATGGGACGTGGGTCTTTGCGCATGGTTTGGTTTTAGCTGTGTGTGTGTGTGCCGAGGAACGAGATCATCAGTATGGATGATGTGGAGACCATCTCGAAGAACTTCCTTCAGCTGGACTTGTCTGGTGATGGGGCACTTTGGACGAAAGATGCCCTCGCTTGGGAGCTGCAAAGGCTACTCCAGCCGAAGAAGAAGAAGCAGGCCCCCGTGCTCTTTTTTCACTCCTATTCCTAGCCAAAGCTCACAGAGAGGCGTCAGGAAGAAGCACATGATATTGAACGCTTAAAAGAGAGCTCGAGTAGGTTTGGGACGTGTACGCAGCTTCACAGAAACTCGCTGTCGATCTTTGTCTTGATAAGTCGGGAGCCTGATGACCAGGCTTTTGTGCTTGTGAACTGCCTGGCTGTCGCAGGGTCGGCGAGGCCGTGTCGCGTAATTTCCACGCACCGGGCTGGGAACGCGGGGCCGCCGAGCGATGGGCAGCGCGTTAGCCGTTAGCCTCTCACGGGAGCGGGAATTGCACTGGCAGCCTGGATCGTCAATGCGTCTCAACGTGACCGGAGAGCAGAAGCAGCATACTTGTACATGGTAGGAGAATCACAACAAACAGGCTTCCATCATGAAAGACACCGGAACGAACCCCGGAGAAGGCATGGCATAAGGAAGCTGCGCGACCTAATCACGGCATCACCGACTGCTCGAAGTCGATGGAACAAGTGAAGAGACTTCAGCACTAAAAAAAGCCGCCGCTGACACACAAGTGACAGCAAGGTCACAGGTGCAATGAGCGCAGTGGGACATGACCGAAGCGTCAACATGAAGGAGGCATGACTCATGACGCAGGCTTTCAAATCTCAGCATCAAAACAGTGCCACAGAACAACCTTGGCTGCCAGTAGGCGAGCGCGGTTTCACTTCTCCCCATCTACCGGGCACCAGATTCTGTTTGAACTGTCGACATGTTGATCAGTTCAGCCGGTCTCTAGCAAGGGCTAAGGGCTAATCTTCAAGAGCTCACCAGCTTCGAGGATAAAAAGGATCAGGACGAGAGCGACATCTCACAGGCAGAGGCTGTGAAGCTCAGAGCCTTGGCCTGTGTCACAGGGAACGTCACTGGCACTGGCATGGCCCAGCCTGCGGAGCAAAGCCCAAGTATGAGCTCCAGAAATTTGCTGGTCGGTTGTAGTGGCAGTGGCAGTGGTGATGATCGTGCTCGTCGTCGTAGTAGTAGAGGAGGACCAGTTGGACTAGTACAAGAAGGTGTAGAGGTGGAGCATAGTGGAGCAGTGGGAGTAGCAACAGAAGCAGCAGAAGTAGTAGTAGCAGTGGTCGTAGTAGCAGTAATAGGAGCAGCAGTAGTAGCCTGAAAGAAACCTGCATAAACTGCATAAACGACCACAGTGACGGGAAGACAGTGAGCATGATAAGCGAGTCTTCCCAAGGAAGTTCTCTGGAAGCCATCGACATGAAGACCGCAGGCTGCATTGAGCTCGCCGAGCTTGAAGCAGCCCTTCATAAGTGGCATGTTGGCACATCTGCAACCATATGTGGGCGTGAGGGGTACCTTGTTTTTGGGTCCTGAGGATCATGATCCCCTTATGTTAGCCTTATGTAGGGATCTGCTTCAGGATCCCGATTATGCTTCATTGTTTCGTTGCATGCAGATCTCGCCTCCGAGGGTTGGTGTCGTCACATCGGAAGAGTATGTCAGGTGTCCTGGCTCTTTAGTTTCGTCTGGGCATGCCCTTGAACCGGATGACGTGCTCTTGAGGAGATTCTTTTTGAAGCTGGATCTCAATCGCGATGGCAAGATCAGCTTTCAGGAGTACAAAGAGCATCCCGTCTGCAGTATCCACCCGTTGACGGGAAAGGTTCGACATGCAGCTATAAGGGCCCCTGATACGCAGTTGCACCATCGTGTCTTTGTTCACTTTGGGAGCTAGGCTCATTCGCAAGCTTTGCCTGAAGAGCCGTGCGCCTTCGGACTCTCTGGACCCTGAAGCGGAGAATCTGGAGCCGCAACCAGGCCCATGAAAGCTTGGAGAGCAGCAAGTTTTTAAAGTGGGGAGCTTGGGTCACCCCAAGGAGGTGCAACCCAGGTGATCCCTGGTGTCTCACATTTTATTCAATTCTGGCTCCTCATGCATGAAGCGTGCGGAGCCTGTGTGGTTTCCGAATTCAAGGCATTTTTCCCACCAAGCTCCACATTGTGAGCGGATGTTTAATGCACTTCCAAGGGCAGTGGCAATGTCAGACGCCTTGCTCATGGGCAGAAATCAGAAGTATAGATCATATGTCATATGTGGATGTTTTCACATTGCCAATGTCAACACAATAGCTACTTTGTGGTCTTTGCCCTTGTTCTTGACAGGGCCAGGAGACCGAGGCCGGATCCACTTCACAGCTCCCTGCGCGAAGTCGTCTCACGGTAACTTTGTCCCTCGCAGCACGGAGCACTAGAACTACATGATGTTCAATGCTCTGGGCTCCTTGCGCTAGTTCAGGTGTTTGACGGCCTCAAACTTCTGCACGGATGCTTCGATAAAATCAAGAGCGTCGAATACGCAAACCGGTCCTGTCCTGCAATTGCATCTGCCATGGCTTTCCAGACAGTCCGCACTATCGCCACGTAGGGTTTGGGGAAAGAGAGCGAGAGAGAGAGAGAGAGAGAGAGAGACAGAGCGAGAGAGCGAGCAAAGCAAGGAAGCACGTGTAGAAAAACTGCACACTCGTAGCAGCTGCCCGGGACTGCCACCAGCAGTGGGCATCTCCCCCTACCGAAGCGGGTTCGCCCCTCAGACGGAGGAAGACATGATCCCCTACACTCGAGGGACAGAGAGAAAACATGTGCTGTTCGCCGCGGACTCAGAGAGCTGCAGGTTGCTGTCGAAAGAGCTGCAACCCAGAACAGGGGAAGAGGCCTGTAGGTCACTGTAGGGGGATGTTTGGGGGTAAAGGCAAATAAGGGGTCCAAGTACAGATCGCGGTGCAACAGGTCCTCTTTTCTGACAGGCTCGCTTTCACCCAACCAGACAAGAACCAGGGCGTGGCTTCGCACGGAGGGTGCGGCGCTTAATTTGCGAAACTTCAGCTGGGCGCGGGTGAGGTCCGGCCTCAGATGAAGAAGGTGGCGACGGACCTGTGAGTCCCAAGCTCAATCAGCCTTTCATGGTAAACTTCAAAGTAAAGCAGCCTAAATCCTGAGTTGGTATGGGTTAGTTGTTGGTTGCTGGGTGGCGTGGCTCAGGTTCAGCTGCACTTGGGATTGCTGTGAGTTCGGTTAAATGAAGCCAGTTGCGTGTTGCCTGCCTTGCGAGTGCGAGAGTCTGTGAGAATCGATGCCCTAAACGCCTAAGTATCAGACCTCGAACCGCAAGCCTGGCCTTGTTCGTCCGAATGTGGGCGCCGAAACGCCTAAGTCCAAAGCTCCTAGCCTGGATCGTGCGAGTTGTGAGCGCCGAAACCCTCCGAAATCCTAAACGCACAACTCCGAACCCCTCCTGAACTGCAAAGACGAATCGAAAAAATTCTGAACCCTAGACTGCCAAGCCCTACCCTGCATCGTAGGTTCGTCCTAGCCAAACCCTGTAAGTGTGAAGTGATCGTGCTGCGCTCAGGCTTGGATGGGGGCCTCGAGATACTCGGCAAGGCCGACCGCGTCCAGGGCGCTGCTCGACACCCAGTTCTTTGCTTCACCCCAAACTTGCCAGGGTGATTCCAGAAACGCACAGGGGTTTCGGGTTTACGGGATTACGGTTTTGAGTTTAGGGTTCATAGGGTCAACTGAGATGCTGAATCATGCTGCGCCCCGCTATATTTCGACGTCGACTTTTTCGGTTGAACCTGAGCTCACAAGAAGTATGCTCAGGAGGGTGAGTTACTTGGTCTGATCCTCAGGGAATCTTCCGATGTGGCATCTCTGTTGGCGAATGGCGTGGACGGAGCTGCTAAGGAATAATGAATCATACATGTGCTGGGAGTGCGTGCAGGTTATCTGACGTCTCCGATGCTGGACGAGAGCTCTTCACGTCTTCCGCGGGCAGGGCGCCTAAGCCATGTGCACCGTTACGGCCTGGGAGCCGTCGAAGGAACGAACGCATTCCGAGGCAAAGGCCCGAAAGGCGACAGCTGCTGAATCATCTGCGGCAAGTTCGCAGGACGTGCACGCTTCTTCTTGACACGGGAAGATTGCTAGAAGTTTCGAGGCATTATGATATCGCGACAGATCGAATTGACCCAGTTCTTGATGCAAGATTCTGCAAGCTCTCGTGGTTGCGAATTTCAGTGACGGAACAGCTGTTTGAAGACACTTGAGCGTGCTGGACTTGCTCCAGAGACCAGTGCCATGGCACAGCATACGAAGATAACACACTGAAGGTAGAGCAAGGGCCATCGCCTAAGACGAACAAAAAGCACCAGAAATCCAAAAGCCACGGCAGAGCCGCCAGACCCAGCCACCCAACATGTCAAATGAGTGTTGTAGGCATGACCAGTAAGTCACGGTAAGACATACCTGGGACTGGACCTTTGTCTCCTGTAGGGTGCTCCAGCACTTGATCAGGTATTTTGGCTGTCTGCGTGTTCCAGTGAATATGATCAAGAAGCTTTGAGCTTTGTCGAGAAGCTTGCCTGATAATGCCGAACCCAAGTGGCGACACATCCGGTCATGTTGGCTCGGTTGCTAGTTGCTGCTGTCCTTTCAGTTGTGCGCGGTTCGTCTCGTCAAAAGCATTGGCCGGGCACCACGCAACTACCTCTGCAAAAGAATAGCTCTCCAAGCACATTCCCACCCTAGAGATCTGAATCCGAAGCGCTCCATGTCGGAGCAGATCCAAACTAGTGAGAGGACGGGGCCACCACGGGTGACGGCTTGTCAGACATCCGAGAGCGGCTCCTGGCAAGCGAGTCCGAGATGCATCCTCAGATCCGCGAAGAGCTCTACGTTTAGGCGGTGATTGTGTGTGGTATCACAGGTCTGACAATGAGGAGAAGGACTCGGGTTCAGACCAGGAAGCTGGAGAAAGAAGCCACGATAAACCTGGCCATGGTCACAGATCTTGTTGCCAGCAACTGCCCTGCGGTTTTGGCTCCGGAAGCCAGCAGGTCAAGAAGATCGGGCCCCCTTCAGCTTGCTACTCAAGCATTGAAGTGTTTGCTTGAGCTGAGCCTCAGACGGGAAGAACGAAGAGCCTCCTGTCTCAGGCTGGTCACAGCTTGCCAAAGAAGGGGAGGCTGCGCCGCTCTCTCGGTTTTCGTTGCAAGTATTGCGGACTCGGTAGCCTTCAACAGCAACAGTTGCAATCAGCACATGGCGACTTTTCCATGGCTACGTCTCGGCACACAGGTTCGGTCCCGCGCCTACCCGGCAGCTGGAGCGGGCTGGTGGCTTGAAGCTTAGATTTGTCTGCCTTTGCCATCTCATCTTCTGTCCAGCATTAGCTCCGGTGGTAGACACGAACATGACTTATGTTGACTGACAGGCGGCGACCGAATACAGGCAGGCTTCACAAAGCGACGCATGCCGTGGAAGTTTTGCACAGATAATCGGATCGTCGAGTGCTGTCCCCTCGGAAGGCTGCTACATTTGGAGGGCGCTACACGGACCAAGACCGTTGGGTGCTAAATGTGTTTACGCAGGCACTGCGATGCGGAACGCAACGTTTCCAGTCAGGAGCCAAGGGAGGAATTGCGAAGTAATTTCCATCCGAGGCCTCCCCGGCTCTCGGCGGATTGCTCGGAGGAAGGCGCTGGGCGTGCGGACGAAGAACCGGCTGGATGCAGGCATGTCGAGAGGCTCTAGCTTGGATGGTGGTCTTCGTCCTCGAGTCAGGTCGGAACTATGCGTCGCCGGATGACGACCTGCTGGTGTGACATAGCGCATCAAAACGGCGACTGGCACTTGCGCGAGCGAGTGATGCGTCAGGCGCTGCAAGTGTTCTGCCATATTGTCCAGGGTCATATGAACCGCGCCGATGTTGCTGCATGCAATAACGTTTTTGCATCCATGCATTCCGCTGCTTCGGAGAGTTGATTAGGGCAGAAGCAAGGGAAAGCCAGACGAAGCACCCACAAAAGGAAGTACCACCGCTTGAGCACGATTTGGATTCAAACCGCTACCCATACAGTCCACGCATCCCCAGGCCCATCGTGACAATACGTCTTGATCAGTTTCAGTTTCCCAACACAGTTCGCCATGCTGCGACTCGCTTCGGCCGTGTGTCGGTCTGCAGGACGAGGCTCTACGCATGGGGAATCACGTAGACGTCGTACAAGCCTTTGTGCAAGACGGTCCTCAGCAAGGGGTCTTGTTTGTCGCCAGAGTGTGCAGTGGAGCGGTGAGCCTGAGCACCATTGGAAACTGACACGAGTTCAGGTTTGCCTCGCGTCTGCAACGCGCAAATCCGAATTGTGACTGCAGCACAGCACGAAGCAGTTGATTCCTCAGCGCCCGCCTTGGCGAGGCTTGGTGACTGCAACGAGGCCGAAGCAGATAAAGCGCTTCTATGAGGAGGTGTCCATCGAGGAAGTCGGTGGCCTCTTTCGCGTGCTTCTCGACGGCAAGGCTCGGGCCTCGGGCCTTGCAGCTCCGTGTCCAAAAATGCGCCCAATGCTCTCTCGGCCCTGTAGGTCGTGAAGACGCCAAAAGGAACTACCCTGGATTTGCCTGGGGTCGGCGTTGCACACCGTGTGGCTCGAGAATGGAGGGCACAAGGTGAGAACCTTGAACCCCTGGAGATGCCCTTCACGACCCTAGGCCGGATCTTCAAGGAGGTTACGGCTGTAATACTAGTACCTGGCAGTCCCCTGCCAGGGTGCACAGCGCTGGACATCACCCAGAAAGACCCAGAGGGCTGCATTGACCGGATGATGCCCTTTCTAGAGATGGACACCGCATCTTGCCACCGCAGTATCCGCTAGAGCGCAGCAGACAAGGACATCTCAGAACTCCGGAGGCGGCATGGGATCATATGGGATCTAGTAAGCAGGGCCATACTTAGGAGGAGCTACCTGAAGGCTATTTAGGAGTAGTTGCGTGCAACACAAGACTCGTGGCCACAGTTGTGGCCAGGTCCTAACCCGACCGAGGTATGCTTCCAAGTCGACGAGGAGTTCCTGGCAGAGCGACAGCAGCAGGAATGGGGTCCACTGCGGGAATGGTTCCAACAAGAGCCTTTTGGCCGCAAGCTGCAAATCTTGTGGCCTGGTATAGTGTCATATAGTAGCTAGGACGAAATACATCATCATATCATAGCAGACCGTTTTGCAGGTACGCTGTGAAGCTTGGCGTGGCGACAGGACTTGGCTCGCCGGGTCACCCCGAGGACTGCGGACTCTGAGTAGCTTAGGCTAAGGCTAAGGGGTTTTAGGGTTTAGGGTTCAGGGTTGTAAGGTATTTTGCGTGTTTTTGTTGGCACTGACATGATAACACCATGAGAAGAGCGATGTGTTGTGGTGAGAAAATTATTCAGGCCGTTGCACAAGTCCTGATACACGAAAGGGTTCAGGGTGAAGGTTCTGTGACGACGTGTTGACTGCTCAGGACACCATGCTTCGGGTAGCTGAGCAGCTCTTGACTCGTGATGCCTGGGAGTTATGTGCTCTGGAGATTGCAACGCAGACTGTGGCCGGGCATGTATTCAGCCCAGCGTTGCCGAACCATCACAAGCCTTCGCCAGGGGGTTCTCGACCTGTTACTTTGCTGCTTAGGCCAAGTCGCTCATCGTCGCCAGCGCGCTGCTGGATCGAAGCACCTCCGCTGAGGAAGCTATACGCTGGGCACAGCTGGAAGAGAACTTCCAAATTGAGCGTGCAGGGCTGAGGAATCATGCCGGGTGTGCGCTTTGCAGGTTGTCCATGTCTCTTGAATCTTGTTCTGCGGGGCTTAAGCCTTAAGGTTGGGGACTTGTCGAAGGCGACCATGACGTGACCGAAAGTGAGATGCTGAAATGGTTTGGGGCCTGCAGACAGTTTGGGAAGGTGCACAGGCACGCAAGCGAGCATTCCGAATGAGAGCGAGAAGGATGAAGGTAGAATCCAGGTAGAAGCTGGGTGGCCCTTCGAAAAGGATCGTTTGCTCCGAGACAGCTGTTCAGTTTAGGGTCCTGATAGTGAGCCATCGAACTCAAGCCAGGTTCCCGACTTCAATTGGATTTGCTCCTACTCGCGTAAGTTTTGCCAGTGAATCGAAGTGTGTGAGCTGAAGATGCGTCGGATGGGTCGTGTTCTCTGTACTACTCCGATGTTCTGACGTGGCTCCAGAGAAGAACCTGAACGCATTGGACATGTGAACAGTGATCACGCGCAACTTGCTGCACGATCCAGCACAGGATGTGTTGTCTGTGCACATGTTCACGCCACACCGATACTTCACGGATGACAGCTAGTGACGGTGTCAAGCAGATGCACTGAAAGCTCTGAAGCGCTGCTGCGCCGATGCTATGAGAAGGCCGGGGCATGTCCGCATGCTCTGCATCGCCCAGAGAGAGCTTCCGGGCACAGGAGTATGCCGGGAACGTCAAGAAGAGGTTATGGCAGGCACCTCATGAAGCTTGGCTGCAAACGCTTTTGTTTGCGACTGCGCTGCATCCTTCAAAGCCTTACGATCTCTCCAAAGAGGAGATTTTCGGATCTCTTCAGGCGATTTGCGCTGTGCCTGGCACCATTTATACTGCTGGGAGACATGGCCTTAGTTGCTCCGCTTGCTCGCCTTCCTGCGTCGAGCACCTCCGCCGAGATAGCAGAGGTCCTGCGGCTTGCCTGCAATGATAGTGCTATATAGTGCTCCTTATATGGTGCCGCAGTATAGTCGCCCATATATTTCCTGATATTAAGCGATAGTACAGAAGAAGGTGGGACATACTCTGACTCCCCGCCAGGATACGCGATGGCATCGTGGTTTTGGATCGGTGGACCTCGCCGGAGAAAGTGGCAACAGCCTTGCAGGACAAGTTGTGACCAAATGCCACAACTTGGGAGAGCCATCACAGAACAGCCCTAGGATCCGCGAGCGGGGCACGCGGCGGGGCAAACGGAGCAATTGCAAACCGAAAGCGGTGCTCACAGTCCTATAGCCATTCCTAGCAGCAGGATGCCGCAGGTAGTGGGCAAGGACAACAAATTATTCGTAGAATGTAGCGCTGCGGGAAGAAGTTCGATAATTCGGTTTCTGCGAGGAGCTCGAGACGGGCCGCATGTCCGAAGGACGAAATGTGCGTTTCGGAGGCAGTACGCAGCTGCTGAAGTGGCCTCTGGATGCCAAGAAGGAGCGCACACTTACAACATGATGTATGCTCGTCAAGCCTGAACGAGTCTGTGAAATCATGCCAGCTGCCACAGAACAGAATAGGGCCACGCTTGAAGGATCGGTGGATCTAGTAGGCCGCAAGGGGGTTGTGGCAAGTTCCAATGCTACGAGCCACTTGAGCATTGCCCGCCTTTTCTGAGCCCGCGCTGCGTCGCAGGAGCCGGCGTTACGGAGCCTTGCCCAAGACGCCGTTCTACAGGAGGCCATTGAGCTGGCCCGGAGGGCGCATGGAGAGGGCTCGCACCACTCCATCGCCTGGGAGGCCCTTGTTGTGTAAAACTTTGCGCCTCTTTGCAGCCCTGCTTCCCAAAAGGTACGGCTCTTGATCCTGGCACCCGGCACCCCAGAAGGCCATTTGGTCCCGCAGTGGCATGTTTTTTTTTGCTGTGCCTGAGCATGCTGTTCTCTTTGCCAGCCGCGTGCAACAGGCGACATGCACCGCGATGTCGTGGACACTTCGAAGGTCCCGCTGGAAAGACCGCTGCAATGGGGCCTGAACACCATATGGGCCGTGGATGACTTCACGATGGACAACGGAGCCACGAGATTTGTGCACTGTCCCAGCAAGGATGAATCAGATAGCGGAAGTTGTATCTGTCTAAGGGCTGCGCCAGCATGCAGATGAGGTGCCCGGGAGCCATTCTGGAAAGTATCCTCAGGGTCACTGGTCTGGTGAACATCCAGAGGCACAAGAGGCTGGTGCAGCCGCGATGCCAGCGGGCTCGGTGTCCACGGCGGGTCTTGTGACATGAGCTCTGCAGACCAGCTCACTTATGGATGTTCTGCACTCGTCTGGCCAGGTGGTTGTGTATTATGCCAGCACTTTGCATGGAAGTGGTGAGAATCGATCGCCAAAGTCGCGAACAGGTGCCAGAATCCCGTGAGAGCTTGTGCGCAAAGTGCCTGACTCTGTTTCGTGAGAAAGCTCCCAGAATGCTGCCAAGCTTGAGCTTCTAGTTTATTGGAGTTTTCAGAAACTGACTGGCGTTGATGAAGTCTTCTTCGAGATTTTGTCTTGGGGCGTGCCTCTCCGGAAATTGAGCCCGGATCGGGCAGCTCTTTGTCTACGCTCCAAACTTGGCGCAGGACTAAACTTCAATTATGCCTTTGTTGACGAAGCTGGCGCCAGTAAGACGCTCAGGAAAGTACCAGCAATGTCGGCAGATTTCGGATTAGGTACTCGCATGACGGGGCCAGCTACTGTCCGGAGCCATCCTGCCCTTTAAACTTCAAACTGAGGACCGTTTGACTGGGGCTTCTGAGTGGCAATAGACGACTCAGCCGGCTTCGCGCAGAAAGGTCCACCAAAATGAAAGCCGGTAAGGATCCGTGTTGCTGCTAATCTTAGCAGACCGAAGGGAACAGAGTATGCACCTTCCACCGCATCCTGCGATTTGGTATTTCCCGATCTGCCGCTCAAAGAGCACATCCCAAAACGTAAGTTCAAGTAGGCAACGATATGAGGGAAGTAGCTTCTGCGGGCCACTGCAGAGAGTACGGCGGCTGCAGCTCTGCAACAGACGGCCAGATGATTTGCCAGACGGACCAGATGCAAGTTGCTGTTTCTGTCGTGTGGATGAGTGGAGCGACCTTGCTGAGAATGCCCCTTGATATGCTTAAGGCTGTCGGAAATTTTGAAGGGGCAGGGAGGGGGAGCTCTTCGACAAACGGTTTCCCTGCAGGCTTCCTACTGCACTTGTTCAGGCTGACCTAGTGCAGATGTAGCTTTGTTTCGTCTCCGCCTCACTTTTGAAGCTGCCTCCGTGCTGACAAAGGATGCTCGATCGTGGGGCATCTCTCAGAAGCGTTTTCCATGGCCTTCCTTCAGACCGAGGCAAAGCGCACAGTCCCGGAGTCTGTAGCGCTCAAGCTGCCACATGCTAGACAAGCTTGATCCGCAGGCTGTCTCACGCTACTTGCGCCTACCGGGCGCTTGGTCACCCCATCCAGCTGCATTGCTGAGATCACTGCACAAGCAGAGAACCACCTGGTGCTGACGGCAACTTCGGCGGCATAGTGTGCTGATCGGCATAAACATGTCGGCAGCCGGATAAAACTCGCCAAGCCACCCGAGGCCATCGCACATACTGTGCAGAGCACCTTGGCATCAGAGTCGGCCGCCTGGACGATGGTTTTACCATGTCTTGCGAATATGGGCTGACCTGCACTGGCTTGCAGATGAGGTGTGACGTCCACACAGTGCGCGTTTGCAGTCATAACATCTTCGGGGGCAGTGGTGTCATGGGGTGATGCTGATCTTGGTGGCGATGCCGGCCACGTGCAAGATCAGCTGATGAGCAACGTTCTGCGCCACTCGGACCCGATCTCAACTCACCCTTTTGAATGGTTTGCTGAATGCCGCCTGGGGCCTGCAGGTGTCTATGCCAATCCCTTTGCCTTTGCTGCCGTCAAGGATGATGGGTCTGTGGTGACTTGGGGCTTGACGACGGCTGGAGGTGACAGCAGCTCTGTCAGGCAGCAGCATAAGCTATTGCGAAGAGCTTCAACGGTCAGATGCTAAAAGCCTGAGACCAAAGATGTGGATGAAAGCAGGAAGTTGCATCTGGTCTGCTTTGCAGTAGCTTGGTCTGCCGAGAGGTGGCATAGGTGGGACAAACTAGCAGAAGTGAAGTGTGATGAAGCGGGCACGGCAGGCGCAACTTGGCAACTTGTGAAACATTAACGGAGTGGGAGCGGAGGCCACAACTCTCGACTGGCGTCTGCACCATCTTCTCCACCCGCCTGGCTTTTGCTGCCTTGAAGGACAGGCCGAAGCTGCAAGGATAAGACTTGACATGCAGCGGAGAGAAGAGGGCCGCCCGAAAGCTTAGGAAGATGGCTCGATCGTGACATGGGGAAACGTGCATTCTGGTGGAGGGCCTCCTCCGCGCACGGGAGCTGTGCAAAGCATTTCTGCGACAGATGGGGCCTTTGCGGCTCTTACCAGGAATTCCGGTGTGCATGCCTGGGGTGATCCTGCTGCCGGCGGACATCCACACGAAGTTTCTGCAGATTTGACTGGCGGCGTGCTAGCGGTATTTGGTTGTAAGTGTGCGTTCGCCGCCATGAAGCATGATGGTTCTGTCGTTTGTTGGGGAGCTGCTATTGCCTGCAAAGGCTTTGACAGCCTTAGATGTAAGCTTGGCAACATGCAAGTGCGTCATATTGCTTCGACTTCAAACGCATTTGCAGCCCTAACGGCCGGAGGATCCGTCTTATGTTGGGGGGATCCTGCCTGTGGTGGAGACTCTTCAGGGGTGGATGAGCATCTCCAGGACAACATCGCAAAGATATACAGCAACGAAGTGGCTTTTGCTGCCCTGAAGCGTGGCGGTGCAGTGGTGCCTTGGGGAGGACACTATCTCGACATGGATTTATGCTACACCGGAAAGCTCCTGGATGCTGGGGTGGAGCAAATTGTCGCAACGCGCTTAGCCTTCGCAGGGCTTAAATCCGATGGCAGCATTGTGAGTTGGGGGCACCGCAACCGGGGAGGAGACAGCAGTGCCGTTGCTCTGCAGCTTCGAGAAGTGAGAAAAGTCTGTGCTTCTGACAACGCGTTCGCTGCCGTCACCGCTTCCGGCGCTGTGATTACCTTGGGCGTGAAGGATGAGGGAGGCAACTATTGCTCTGCCGATGAGCTCCTGGAGAGCGATGTTCATGACGTGCACTCTACATGTAATGCTTTCATGGCCATCAAATACGACGGATCGGTTGTAGCGTGGGGCGGTCGTCGGTTTGGTGGGCACGTTCCCGCCAGTGCAGTATTGCGCATCTGTTCCGGCGATGAGAAAAGGGCATTAGCGACCGCACAGCAGTTAGTTTGGCAAGCGTTTTGCGTTTCAAGCAATGGAGCTGGACTTTGTCGGCTGGCTCAAGGTGCAGTCTCTGCACGTTTCACCACATGCTGCCACGATGCTGATGCTAATCTGACCATACCTCAGCGGTCAGGGTTCGGTAGGCACAGACTGCGTCTCGACAGACTGCGCATCCAAGAGTCCAGAAACTATCGTAAAGGATGCTTTGGGCCCAGGCCCTAGGAAGAAGGAGCCAAAAGGAAACAATCAGGAAGTGTCGAGCTATCCGTCTTTGCTGGATGGTCAAGCTGCCGCCGAAAGGGAAGGCAGACAAGAGAGCAGGATGACAAACCCGAACTTCATGCACTGAGTGCAGATGAACAAAGTCCCAATGTCTCCGTCATCCAGGTGCCCGAGAGGTTCCGCTCCTGCAGCACCCATCTCGCATGGTTGGCCGCCGAGAAGGAGGTGCAGGACGTGTCAGTAGGCGATGAACGATTGCATGTAGCGTGAGGAGTCGTTCAGCGTATTTGTAAGGCATCTGCTGACTTTGGAAATTAGGTAGCTGATGCTGGGCCATAATGTCGCCTGATGTGCATGTGCGAGATCAGCTTGTCATGCCATTTTCCGGAAGACGTCGCCTAGTCAAAAGTGTAAGTATGATTGGTGATGAAGATGTCTTGACAACACTTGAAGACTGCCAGATATGCCAAAACCATGAGTTGATTTCAAGTTGAAGTTGGATCCAGGAGTGGACCACCACAATTCTGCTTCGAAATGTGTTGTCAGGTTGTACCGGTAGCCCAGCACGCGGCATCTAGCTTAAGTCGCATCTGTAAGAGCTTGCTGAAGAGATGAGCCTGCAGGAGTTGGAAAAGCAATGCGCGGCACAACAGGAGTTGGAGTCAAAACTCAAGCTGATGCAGAATCGATTGAAGGCCCGGGGAAGAATTACCGCGGCAGCCCGACATTTCCTGACCCATAGAGAGATGTGGTCGAGCGCTTCAAAGCCGCGAGAGGGAGCTCACTTTGCACCATTTAAGGTGCCTGGTGTAATCGGCCCCATTCTATGCACCATCTCATCATCTTTCCCGTAGCTTGACCACAGGAGATTCCTGCTGCCTGGCTCATGTTGGCACGAACTCCTCATAAATAGTTTCATCTTGAGTGTAAAGGCAAGGCAAGCAGTTGAAGTCCGAGGGGCTTCGTGAGATGTGACGACTCCTGCACAAACATCAACCACCCACAGTGCACATATCGTCGGCAAGCCAAGCGTTTGCGGCTGCCGGTGCATCTGCCAATTTCGGCGACTGGTAACTAGAACATTGGACCAGCACGTCAGCCAAATCATGCCGTGAGTGGTGTCCGTGTGTGTGCGCGCATGTGCGGTGTGTGTGTGTGTGTGTGTGTATGTGCGTGTGTTTGTGTGGTCGGGAAACAGTGTTGCTCCACAGGCCATGCGGCAAGGATCTTCCGCACGGCTAGATGCGGTGCCCTCATTGTGTTTCTGCTTCTTTGTCATGTTCATGCTGATATCGCGTGACGACATGGGGTGACTCCTTTCAACCCGTGTTACATTGAGCACCTGGGTTAGGCTGTCATGCAGATGATCGAACATCGCAAGGCTCTGGGGCACATTGAAGACGTGGCTCTAGCCTGAAGCTCCTGCGCTTGTAGTGCCTGCACAGTCTTCACCTCTTTTCATGGCTTTGGGTGGGTGAAGCGTGTATGTAGCTGTCGCTGCAATTCCAGTCTGGATCACGCAGGCAGAGCTTCTCCTTGTCAAGGAGAAGTTAAATCAGCTCGAAGCTCGCAAAGACGCCGCGCGCCTCAGTGTCGCCTTGTGTCACTTCGGAGAGACTCGGATGAGGGGAGGGCAGGAGACAGGGATAGTTGCAGAGGAGCCGCCGAAGTATCCGGCGCTGACCAATGCGCAGCCACTGGGCTTGGCCCTGACCCAGGCGGTGAAGGAGGGCCGAAGGGGGGGAAGGAAAGCGTGGCGGGTGTAGTGCTGTGCAATGCTGTGCATGCCGTGACGTGTGTCGTGAGCCCCCGGAAAGCTTCGCGCGACCTCGTTTGGTGAGGAGATGAGGAAACGCACGCTGAGCAGGAAGCGAGAGGCTCGAGTCAATCTTCGAGTGATTTACTTGAGGGCTCCCGCCACCAGAAGGAAGTCGCAAATAGGTGGGGTCATGCTCTTTGTTTACTTATGTTCATTCGGGGGCAGGCTGATAGATCTCGACTTCTCTGCCTGTCAGGAACCCAACCCATTGTCATTGAAGCAGCCTGCCGCCTGGCCGTCGGTGTACAGCATTGCTGATCTTTGGCTCGCGCGACTCGGTCTATCTTGTTTTGACTGCTTTAAACCGTTGGGTCAGCTCGAGTTTCGATCTGCGCTGTTTGGCGGTGTCATGCTTGTCGTTCAGGAAAGCAGAACTAGAGCATGCTCTAGCTTGGCGCCTGGACGCTTCTGATAAATCGCGGCCCAAGCGCTGCTTGCTTTAAAGCCGTTACGAGCATCAGTACAGTTTGTTGGTTTGTTGGAGATGGTTTCATGTATCTAGGATGTCCCGTGAGTAGAATCGGACGGAAGCTAAGGATATGTGCAATCGCCAGAGCTTCTGTGGCCCTCTTAGTGTGTGTTCCTTTCGCACCCGCGAAATTCGTTCTGCAGCTACCGGGCCATGGTTTTGGCCCACAGTTTGTACATAGCGATCCTTGATGTCAACCTCCCAGACTTCCCAACCACCACAAACAGCCCATGTGGCGCAGCACGCTCTGCCCGCCAGCGTGGGCAAACGCTGACTGCACTGCGCTGCACTTGGGCGGCGTCATGGCTTCTTGGCGAAGCATGTCTCATTCAAGTTCGGCGGCCTTTTCGGAAAGCTTATCTGTCAAGCCGTCGGCTACTGTGCAGTACCACTGCAGTACTACATAGGTTCGGAGCCTCAGGTGCAGAGTTGCTTGACAAATTTGGAGGATCCCTAAATCAACTGTACGGCCTGGTTCAAAGGGGCTCGTGTTGGACGCTTGCAATGACGGCAGTTGTTCTGAATCGTCAATGTACTCAGGACGCCTTCCAACATCATTTATTCCCATTTGGCCAGATGGTAACTCTTCGCCTGTACCAGACGCCTTTCTGCATGCAGATCAAGCATGACCTTCTGCAGTGGAGAACCGGAGTATCTCAATTTGTGACTTCGAGCACACGCTTTCTCACGCTCGAATGCTCGCCGACAAACCTGAGGTCTGTGTTCCGCTCCTTGGAAGCCTTTGCCTCACAGCCACATCACGACAGGCAAACTTGCAACCATGGTTTTGACGACCCTGTTGGGCCGAACTACCCGCGCTCTGCTTGTGCTGAATTTTTCCTGGCCCTACTGCGGCTCAGGTTTCGAAAGGGACGGGCAAGCTGCGAGCAGCGACATCCTGCGACGCACTGGTGAGCAGCTTGAAGCCCTCCGCCAGTTGGCCTGCCTTGTGAACTACCAGAGATGCTGGTCGAGGGCGGGCATGCATGCAGTCAGCATGCAGTCAGAGCAGCCACGTGCAGCCCGCATGCGCAAAGCGCAGACCCTGAGGGCCGAGCACAGTCATGGAGGCGCGGCGTGCAGAGCTTGTGCCGGACGCTGCTAGCACACCAACTCCCGTCTGCGAAGCTTCTACCTGGCTTCTGCGCAGCGCTCCTAAACAAGGCCAAGGCTACCCAAACATGTGCCAGGCTAGGCTGCTAGATGAGTGAGATGCTTGCCTGCGGAGGGGCCAGTGCGCCACGGCAGAGATCGGTTGAAAGCAGTTCTGGGCTTCCAAGATGGTCTGAAGATGCTGGCAGAGGCAGCCTTGCCATCATCCCTCGGCTTATCTCTGCCTCGTAGATGCACTTATGAATGTGAACTCGGGGTGCCCGAATCGTCCCGGAAGCTTTGGGCAACGCTTGCAGCCTGGTTCTGTGGTGTTTGCCCAGGCAGGGCGACAGAAAGGCACGACTTGATGATTCGAAGATCATCCGAGAGCTTTTGGAATTGCTCGAGAAAGACCGACAGAGTCTTCAAGCAGTTAGCCAGGGTGTCGAGTGCACAGTTAGGTGGGAGGGTTCCATACTGAGTTTCTCGCTTTCCAGTCGACAGCCGACTCGGTTGCAAGCTTTCTCAGGACGGTCAGATCCTTCAAACGGCAGGCAAGCCACAGCGAGGAACTTCTGCAACACCTGACCAGCCGTGGACTAGGTTTACTGGAGCAGCTGGACCAGTTCGCACAGCACTACCCAGCCGAGATTCTGCAGATGCCGTTCCAGCTGCTGTACTCAGCAAGCTTGTCGCCTGCGGGCACCTGTCAGCAGGACAAGAGTCCGAGACTGATACCCCCACCGGAGGCACGGTGGTTCCGCGCGAAGGTGGATGGTACACGCTATTACAGTCCTTGGCCCAGCTCGATCGATCTCCTCTTCCGCTGGGCGAAAGAAGGAGGTCGCCCTTCCAACTGGGCAAGATGCTCAGCACATGTCTGTGACATCTGCAAGGCCGTCTTCGCAAGTTAATGTGATGTCCACGCAACTTCCTGCAAGGTTCTGAACTTGGGATCTGGTGATGGACGCTGCGCTGGAGGCACACCTCGATCCCACAAGCTCCACTTAGTCACTAACGACGATGTCTCTCTCCCTCTCTGGGTGTAGTCATGATTGTTTACCTATGTATCTTGTATATCTCCGTATGTTGCAGTCCAGGCGACGAATACGATCCTGCCAATTGTCTTGTTCTGAATCACGGCTGGTGCGGCATCTTCATCGAGGGTGATACGGCTCTTGCGGAACAGGCACGAGCATCACTCGGAGATCAAGTTCGAGTGCTTTCCGCGACTGTGACACCATCTGACGTAGGACCGGCTTGAAGTGTTGCTGTTTCGCTTGACCCTTCGGTTTATTCTTGGGCATGAAAGCAAGCAGCTTGGCATGCTACCTCACCATCTTCTTGTCGCAGGACCCCTGGTGGCTGAAGCCGTGCAGAGCCTCTTCGCCAACATGTCAGGAAAGACATGGCTCGATGTAAACGCACCTCGAAGCTGAGCAGCACATTCGCAGAGACTTTAGTGTTGTGGGGGTTTAGGGAGATGAGTCAAGGGTTGCATTTTCGAAACTTCCTGTGAGAAAAAAAGCTCGCCTCCACCCAAACCCAATGCCTTGGGAGCTACTGACCTCATACAAGAAGCATGCGGCCACACCGCACCCACCCACCCACCCACCCACCCACCCACACACACACACACACACACACACACACACACACACACACACACACACACACACACACACACACACACACACACACACACACACACACACACACACACACACACACACACACACACACACACACACACACACACACACACCCCACACACACACACACACACACACACACACACACACACACACACACACACACACACACACACACACACACACACACACACACACACACACACACACACACACACACACACACACACACACACACACACACAAACTACCCCAGCATGTATGCATTTACGTACGTATGTACACAGGCATGTCAACAAGTACCTGCGTGGCTAGGTCGGTGAGTCGGTAGGCAGGCAGGTACGTACACATGCATATGTAAATGTATGCGCAAGCTCCCTCTCCCTCCCTCCCTCCCTCCCTCCCTCCCTCCCTCCCTCTCTCTCTCTCTCTCTCTCTCTCTCTCTCTCTCTCTCTCTCTCTCTCTCTCTCTCTCTCTCTCTCTCTCTCTCTCTCTCTCTCTCTCTCTCTCTCTCTCTCTCTCTCTCTCTCTCTCTCTCTCTCGCTCTCTCTCTCGCTCTCTCTCTCGCTCTCTCTCTCGCTCTCTCTCTCGCTCTCTCGCTCTCTCGCTCTCTCGCTCTCTCGCTCTCTCTCTCTCTCTGTCTGTCTCTGTCTCTCTCTCTCTCTCTCTCTCTCTCTTTGTCCATCTCAGTCACGGGCGCTAATCTTCTTACGCTTGCACGCCCTCCCAAGCCATGTGTGGTCGAGACGGAGGTCGGCCGGACCTTCTGAAAGTCGATGTGGACCAGGCGGATGTCTGCACTGAAGGGTGTGTTTGGTGTTTGAGCGTTGCTATATGCCTCTTGTGACCGAGGCGGACTGTGAGTTTCTTGATGCCCTGCTTGAGATCTTTGAGCCTTTGCTGCTGCATGTGGAGATCAATCCGCTCTTCCCACCACCTTATGTCACTGGGCCCCAAGACTGGCCCTCGACTCCGGTTGATGGTTTCGTCGGGGTCGTGGTTGAGTTGAGCTTGTGATTCGAGGCGGATTCATATGAAACGTCCTTAAGATGCAAAGCAGCGCGCCATAGAAAGATCTGCGATGGGTCCACAAAAGGAAGCTGAACCGACAATCTCCGAAAGTCCACATAGTCGCGGGGAGACTTCGAAAACTAACCTCCATGTCTGGAAGGTGGTCAATTGAGACTTGAGAAGAATTCAGGGGTCCGGCTTCGTTGCGGTTGGATTTTTTGGGGGGTCAGTCTGCTTTCGGGGTCTTCTCGGCCGCCGGACCTTGGTTTCATGTCCTACCGGGAGGTAGGGAGGCTTTAGAGGGACTCTGCGGTGTCCGTGCCTGCAGGAATATGCAGAACGGTGGAGAGGGAAAGGCTTCGCTCTTCCGGTGGAACCTTGGATGCACTTTCAACTGGAGGCTTTCTTCGTGAAGGGGCAATCTCAGCATTATGCATGGTAGCTTGAACGCAACCTCAGGAGACGGATCATCATCTAATCGGCTGCTCCTTGCAGTCTTTCATCGAACGCACGCGACGAAGATGGGGTGCACGAGCACGCCCGGACCCTCTGACACTGAGGGGGCTTGGGAGGATAGACTTTTGCCTGCCCGGTTGGACGAGCTAGGGAATCGGGCGATTTGCATTCTTGCATAGCCCAGGAAGCTTACCGACTTTCCCATGTGGAGTTTGAGAATGCGGTGTTGATTCATCCGGACGCGGCACGCCTCTCGACTGCAGTCGCTGGTTTTGCTATGACGTCCACTTCAACAGTTCGCATGCGGGTAGGGTTCCGGATCCTTTCCATGCTTCCGAGGAATCTTGCCGGAATCGCAACTCAACGAGCAGAGTAGCGAGCAGATTCTGGATTTGTACACAGCGGGCTACTTTTGCCATCCTCTGCGTGGCATCCTATCAATGCGGGAGAGCCTGGCATTCTACGATTTCCGCCAGTGGATGGACCTTGAACAGCCTCCTCGAGTCAGAGGAGGGTGAGACACTGCTAAAATCACTAAAAAATCGCTCCGCATGATGTCGCGCGGCACGAACAGACCCATCAGCCTGGATTCAGTTTCATTCAGTGCCTTAATAAGGGCCTCTCGCGGAGGAGAGCGCATGAGACGGTTCCTGCGCCGAGAATGGGCGAAGCCATCTTTGCCACGAGCAGCGCTTGGCTCCCAGGCAGGGCCGGGCTCAGTGCTAGGCTCTTGTGGCCCTTTAATCTCCATTCTTCTTAGCAGAGTCTGAGAGGCGACTCCGAGTCTCCTATCTAGGCTAGGTTGATTAGCTCTGCAACTCGTCGCGAACTCTGACAGGGCTTGAGTAGGCTGTGCAAACTTGGCGGCATGTTCTGGCCCGGAGGATGCAAGATACACACTGAGTTGGCCCAGAGGCGAGGCACCGCACAGCAAAAAAAAAACCTGGTTATGCACATGCATATGCAGCACGGTAGTGCAAGGCCGCCCCCCCTAGAAACTCCAGGAGCTCCGCATCTGAGGTTGGACTCGGCATTAGACACCGCCAACGAGCTGATTCGTTTGTCATCCCCGGGAGTCGTGCATGAGACCCTGCGCCTCCCGGTGGCACCGAGGGGGGGTGGCTGAAGCAACGCATGGCAGCGGCAGCATCCGTTGCAGTCATCTCAGGCAGAGAAGCGTTGATTCAGCGAGACATTGCGGCTGGGCTCAGGCTGCCTCCTTGCAATCGTGAGCCTCGTTTTGGGGCATTCGATACAGCCTGCTTTTCGCTTGTGCTTTCTGAAGGCTCATGAGAGACCGCATGTGTTTGGTCACGAGCTCAGCACAACTTCCAAACGCAATGTGGGGGGGGGGGGGTGTGGCAAGCGGTTGTAGCTTGTAGGTTATCGTGATCAGGAATCATTCGTAACCTTAAAGTGGAAGGTCATTGACTCCCTGGGCCCGATGGTCCGCGCATTGGGCGGCTTCGCTGCAGACCCGTTGTTTTGTAGGCGGAAAATGGGGACGTGCTACATGCCACAACCAGGGATGTCTCTGCATGGTTGTGCGTCGACATGATTCCTTTATCCCTTCCTGATTGCAAATGAGGAGTGCAAGAGATCAAGCATTGCGAACAAACGTTGGAGCCACTTTCCTGCAATCCACGGTTTGCTAGTCTCCCCACAACCTATGTTACACACCGAAAGCACACAACCAAGCCATCGATTCCCCCAACAAGCCTCGTCCAGGCTCAAGAAGCTTTTGCTCGCCATCGCGCAGGAAGAGTCCGTTTGGGGAATGCAGCTCCCCGGACTGAAGATTGTGAGGCAGCTGCACGAGGGCCTCAGTGTGTTTGCAGTCATAATAAGGATGTTTTGCCTGATTTGTGCTTTGCTGTGGCATGCTGACACTTCCGTGTGAAGACTGGCTGGTGGGTGGTTCGAGGACTTCATTCAGCCCCGCTATGTTCTGTACCCTGCATCATGTGTCCTATGTAAGCTGAGGCACAAAGCTCAAGCCAGTGCAGAGGGAAGGCTTGGAGCTTGCAGCGCTGTTTGGCAGACTTGGTGGCAACCTAAGCCCCAAGCCAGGCCCATCAAGCATCTTACAAGCGAGACCTACAAGCTCCGGCGCTCTTTGCAGAAGATCTGCCCGCTGGATGCATCCACGGAGACATTTCCAGATGTCGCGCAGGGAGTGCATCAGTTAAAGAGCTGAAACCAGGCTATGCTCCGCCAGGCTCCGCTGTTGAGGAGGAGCGAAGAGCGGCCTTCTGGATTCTTTTGAAGTCTTTGTGCTCTGTACGTTCCCGAATGTAACGTTGCAGGACATGGACGCAGTTTGGAAAGCTGTGAAAAGGAAGGAAGTGTTTGATCTGGCCGCTGCGCGCACGATTCCAAGATGATCTTGAGATTTCCCGCGAGTCTTGAAAGCTTCACGTGGTCGCGTGGTGCATTTGATATCTCCGATCTTCCCTGGGTCGTTGAAGACCTCGACTTCCGAGGTGCGGAGGCAGAGCGCCTGCGCTTGAAGGTAGCTGGATGCGAGCTGACCATGCGGCGTTCTGATGTCAAGCAGAACGCCCTGGCGGCGGCAATCTTAGTGTACGGCTGAAGGGCTTACTGTCTCACAAGTCTGTGGATCGACAAGTGACTTGTCCAAGCTGTATTCCAGACACGAGACGGTCGTAAGGTTACCACCGACAATGATGCTCGGGTGCCCTCGCAGCAATCTACTGACAAACACTGTGTCGATGTGCGTCAGAGGAAGCGCTGTTGCTCGCAAGGCTTTCCTGCAGACCGTCCAGGCCAAGGCACGATTCACCGAAGAGACCGTCACTCCAGCTGACTTACATCAGCCGTCCTCGGCAGGTGAAAGAAGCAACGGATGTGCTCAATGCATATGCGGAATGGGCTTCCAAGACGGAGGCGAGTTTGATTCTCTGTGCTCCGACCTCAGACTTCTCAGGAACCCAGACCCGGTCAGTCTCGAAGTTCGCTGTTGAGAGCGGTGGCGCTACGTCCTCGGAGAGTTCGCCTTTTTCCTTGGCATGCCAAGGGCCTGACGAGTCCTCCTTCCGCAGGCCGGCCTGCAAAGCGCATTGAGGCAAACTTAGACCAATATTCTTTGTTGCAAAACTTGACAAGCAGGTGCTCTTGAGGCTGTGCCTGCGAACCCCATGACGCTTGAAGCGCAGAGGCACGAACGAGTTGACACCCTGCCGATGAATCACGTTCTGTTTCGGCCGCGTTCGGTGGCCTCCGCTGGAGGCTTCGTAGAGCTCTTCAAGGCATCATCGAAGCTGCTTTGATCACTCGGAAGCGTCCAGGAAGAAATGGCGGCAAGGCACCATTGACCATTGAGGGAGGGCGGTTGGAGTAGCACACAGGCACAAGCACACCTTGGATGGTAGAGAATGCAGTATTGTCCAAACCTTCTCGTGCTGTTCGGTCGACATGTCCTGTCAAAGAAGTGCCACCGGATGGGTTTGTAGGAGGGCTCCGACGCAGACGGGGAAGGTTGAACGGCGACTGCATGGCCGTACTCCTTGTCATGCCCTGTTCTGGGAGGTTGGCTCGCCCACCTCCGCACCCCGGGCCGAGGAGCAGCATCGGTGACAGCCATGAACACTGAAGCAAGATAATGGCAGCTGCTGATCCATGAGCTCAACAAACTTCAGACTACTCTCGCTCTAGCAGATGCAAGACTCGCACTGCTTCCTGTCTCGTTTTGCAGGAGGTCAACGCACAACCTCAGGACGAAGCCACGAAGAGACATTCTGCTCCCGTCGTATCAGCCGGGTACCTGGCAACTGGGAGCGGCACCGTACTTGCCAATAAATACAGGCAAGTTCTTCGGTGACTGTAGTAACCGCGGTAGTGTGTAGCAAAACCTTGCCGATGCATAGGAGTGCAGATGCTGATCGTGATCATAACGTAGATCATGGCAGCTGGTCTTGCCAAGTCGATCTCGGCCCCGCGGACCAATCAAGTGGAACTGCAACGTCAGTCCGGTGGTGACCGACTGTACCAGGTATATCGTTCGGGACATCCAGCAGTAAAGCACGCTGCACTTGGTCTTTCATCGGAATAAAGGTTCTGGTTGGTCGGCGTCGGTACATCGGTTGGGGCCTTAATGGCTCATCTTTTGGTATGTCGCCCGCCGGCTTGCAGCACCGACTGGAATTCCAATGCAACAAGAAACTTTGACCGACCAGCCGACCATGACGTTGACCGAGGGATTTGGTTACTGGAACCGCCGCTCCCGCGCCCGGTTCACGGACTGGCGCAGTGTGCATTTTGGATGCAAGCCGCGGTCTTTCGACAGTCCTGTTCTGTAGCGACACCGAACTCGATGGCATTCGCGAAGTTGGTGAATCATGCTCCCGCCACACTGCCGTGCATGTTTTTGGGAGGTTTGGTAGGATCGCGTTCCCGCCCCCAACGTCCCAGCACGACAGCTCCTCGGAGCAGTTTTGCATGGTGTCGAAACCCCGGCGTTCTTGGGTATTAACTTGCGGCCACATGCGAAATCGGCTACGCGGCCGAGTCTTCAAGACTGAATGAGTGTCTGTCACGCAGCCTCGGTTGCCATGCAGGGCTTGCGTTTGTGGCTTCTTGGTTTTGTCGTAAAACGACGTGCATGCGGCGTGGGTTCTGAAGCTGCACTAGGCTAGCAAACACAAGAAGCAGAGGGCTATAGCGTGTATACGGGAAATTGCATGCAAGCAGAAGATAACTCGGGAAGAACGAGTGGAATCGAAGAAGGGAACGGAACAGCAGCTACAGCAAGCGGCCGTCACACAAATGCTGCGCCGGCCCCGAGGGTCACTAAAACTATCCACAGCATCTGGAACGTTAGAAGCCCGAAGCCTTTGCACAGGAACCGGGGAGCCCACAGGAAGGTCATTCCGCCTCGTCGCGACCAACGTCTCCCGAGGTGGCCGAACATGTGCTGGCGAAGGGGAGGAGTCATTCCGTGCTCAGAAAGCTCTGCAAGGTACGAACACGATCTGCAAGGTCCTCGCCGAGGACCCCAAAGACAGCCGATCCGAACCGGTTCAACACATCCTGAAGGCCATACACCGCTGATGTTCTTGTTGGCTTACAGTTTACCACCACTGATTATATAAGTCTCAAGTCTTCCAACACACGAGCCAAGCTGTTGATCTTGGCCTCGAAACCAGGCAATGGCCAGAATTTCTGGCAGACTTTGGCAACCAACACGGTGGCCAGTGGCCTAAGGCCAAGCAGTGATCAGGCTCGGAAGCAAGTGTCTCTCTCACCTCAGTCTTGTCCTAGCTTCGTTTCTGTTTGCCACTTCCGGAACATGTCATGCTGGCGCCGCATCCCTCCGATGGCTTCTTGCTTCCCTGCCAGTTTAGCTTAAGGCCCTTCCTCTTGCGCGATCATGCTCCAAGTGGAAGGGAAAAGTTTGCACGTGAGCGTAGCCAAGCACAACAGGAGGCAGGCCCAAGGGAATCGTTAACAGTTCTGTCCTCACTTCAATTCAACCGTTCTGGTCAACTGCATCATTGGCTCAACTTCTCACGGCTGTTCTTCAGCCTTTACTGTAGTGCCGCTTGGTGGCACTGGCCACGCATGCGGAACAAGGGGTGCCCGCATGTCAGAGATCCAAGCCCAATGAAGCAAACCTAGATTGCGGACGCCGGCACAGGATGTTGCAGCTCTGTAAAGCATGCCGCCCAAAGCAAGCAAACCTTTGCCAGGCCAATCAAGGTGTTTTCTCTTGCTTGTTAGTGCTTCCGCGTTGAGAGTGCAGCAGCCAGCAGCTGGACTGTACTAACATTGCTTCCATAGCTCGCTTCCATGGCCCGCCAACCTGTTCTTCGTGCTTCTTGATTGCGACTGGTCCGCTTTCTGGTGAAGCGTGTGAGGTGCGACTTGCTCGGGGGATGCCACCTAAGAATCGTCAGCTTTTCACTGCCAGGAGGTGTCATCGTGGAGCAGTGTCGGACGAGTAGAGGTCAAGCACGTCGATGAGTTCTGAGATTCTGGTTTCAGGATCCTTGAGGTGCGGCATGATGCAGCTGGTGTACAAAGCATCTGCAAGAAAGGAAAAGTTCCCGGTGCTTGTGCATGAGTCCCGGACATTTCTTGCCAGCATGAGTTCTAAAGACTCAGCCGAGCATTGACAATCCAGTGATCTGCTGCAATCGACTTTGGCTCTTTGATGCGACTGTGAAGTTTTCAGAGTTTCACATCCGGGCAACTATCGTCGGGCGAATCGTGCCACCTTGCCGCAAGTTTTCTGGAATAGTCGCCGCGAGGGAACCAGAACGGCAAACGGCAAAAGACGGTACAATCCCAAGTAGAGCTAGCCCTGTTTGTAGATCTGTATATAAAGTCCGTACTTTCAAGAAAGTGAGTATCGACCCATCATATGCATCGGTACAGTAAAGTATCTCTGCGAAACTCTGCTCATTAACCGAGGCTACAAAAGCCGGCCTGCTTTGACCTTGCACCGTCAGCGGCAGACTTGGATCCTGCCAAGAGCCACGTTTGAAGCTCAGAGCCGGGTCAGTCATCTGCCAATTTGCGGATTGTGACCCGCAGATCTGCGGTCTTGGCAGGCTAATTCATCGAACCTCTTTGGGCTTCCGCATCTCGCACCAGCCCTGCCAGCCTCCAAGCCAGATGAAAGTGTGTAGTTGGCAGAAGAGCGTCTCACTTTGCTCTGCGCCTTCCCGTCCAAGAGGCCTGTAGTCGCTTCAGCGAAGCCCTTGGAGGCTCGGGCTCGATTGTACCTTTCCCACAAGCAAAGCCCGTCGTTGTTTTTGTAGAATTTGGCAACGACGACGACCATTTCGGCTGTTGCAGCTACTACGACAACTACGGCTACGGCCACAAGCACCACGACCACTGCGACACACGACCCACCAGGACCCACCAGGAGCCACCACGACCCACGACGACCCATAACGACAAAGACTGCGAATGCGACTGCGACTTCGACTGCAACGACCCTGCTACTGCTCCTGCTTCCCCTGCTGCTGACTGGTACTGCGACAAGGCTGCAACGGCCACGGCCACGGCCACTGCCACTGCCGCTGCTGCTGCTCTTACTACGACTGCTACTACGACTACGACGGCGAGGACGACTACTAAGACGACGACGACGACTAGTACTACTAGTAGCAGTCCTGCTGCTGCCAGATGCTGCCAGTTGCTGCGACGACTACTGTTTTTTGGTATAGTGGCGGCATGCCATGCTTCGTTAAAACTTTCAGCAGGCTCTCCAAGATCGCAGCTCCTGGAAAGATGCGGGCCGCCCTCCTCCTGGAGGCTTGTTGCCAGTATGCATTTGTAATTGTCTGGCCTTTTCGTTATACCCGGAACCAGGTAATTCACTTTGCATTGGCTGGCGACGCCGTCATCGACTTCAGCTCCGCCACCTCTGCGTACGTTATTCGACCAGGCTGCCTTGGTCAGACTGGACGGAGAACGACAGAGTTGTGCAACTGAAGGGCTTGCCTTGCAAAAGCGCTCCCGCAAGGATGGAGTTTCAAGGTCGAGGTCTTCGGAAGCAATTTCGATTACATCAACGCGGCAGAACTGAGTTTTTGGCAGGCTAAAATGCAGGTCAGTGCTCTTCAGGTCTGTTCATGCCATGTGAAGCAGACGTCACAAGGACAAGATCCTCCTGGTCCCGACTGGCATTGCATGTGGAGATCCAGCAACTCCTCCGAGAGGCGGCGGTCTCCAACCAGGAATCAGCTGTGTCTCCTGTCTCAACCGGAACACGAGGAAAGTACTCCACAGTGGCCGACTACTACAGCTTGGTTTGTGATGGACAGAGCAGCGCTCGAAGCTCAGGGCTCATGCAGTCGTGTATTCGCGAGCTGCGAGCTCCCCAGGCAGCCGGGAGATTGGTCTGTGAAGACTTGTCTGTCTACCAGGCAGGTACTGGTGCTTGACCAGGGGCTGAGGGCTGGAAGTCCTTCACTTGCAAGGCAGGCACTTACACTATCTGTGTCTGCGATGCCACCGCGATGCACCGTCCTGGGCCACCAAGTTCAGGCTGGCAGTGGGTGTCTGGTTTTGATGTTTCGCGGCCGAGACGAGTAACTTTCCTGGTCAATGCTGAGTTTGCCTTGTCGCATGCAGCGCGCCTGCTTGAGTAATTCCAACCGTCTGAGCCGCGTCGACGGGGCTCAGGAGGCACCCCGGTGAACAGCTCAGCAGACGATGGGTCAGTGCTTACCACGACTACAATGACTTCCACATCGCCCTAGCCTCAGCTGCAGATTCTGATGCGGCTTCTGCCTTCCGATTCCGTGAGGACCGCAACATCTCTCCCATGCATCACAGCTGAGAGATTTTGGCTCGGCTCTGTGTCTCGGCCGTGGACAGAAGCGACAGCCGATAGATTCTAGACGGAGTATGACAGCCGGCTGCAATAATGTTGTTTCCCGTTTGCTAAGGATTCCACGGGTACAGTAACTGTGAACGGCCCGAGGACCGACTTCCAGATACTTGCAGCACAGAGTTTCCTGATCAGCAGCTTCGGAGGAATGAGGGAACGCTGGTCGAGAGGGCCGGAACGCCTTTCCGATTGATCCTGCAGGGCACCAGGCGCATGCTTTTGGCAACTGCGCAAAGTCCTTTCATGTTCTTTGTTGTCCTCCAGTTTCTGTTCTCCTGACAGTTTGAGCAGCAGAGATCGAGTTCGAATCACGGACGGCTCGACCGACTGCTTTGCCGGGCGCTTGCGAGATTTTTTCCGAAGGGTTGTCATGACAGTTGCAAGACCAGGTCTAAGTAGCTTCCTGAATATGTGCTTTCTAGGGAGTCTCAAAACCATGAAGTGCCTAATGGTCGCCCGAGAGTATAAGATGCTTAAACAGCTTTCGCTTCCTCAGGACCTCGCAGCATCCAAACCAATGCACCCGGCAGTGGATGCCTCAATTATGTCGACTCCACGTCCTTGCCACGAGCAACTACAAGCATCACCATTCTTCATGAGAGGTTGAGGCAAGGTCTGATGCCCTGATGTGCGACTGTAGTGTGGAGAGTCTGTCAAAGTTGGATGTTGTAGAGCTCGGGTCGCATGCTTCCGTCGCTGGAAGAATACAGCTGATTAGGTTTAGGCTTGGGATGTGAAGCTGTGCGCCTCGAGGTTGCAACAGATTTTCCATATACGGACCCGTCGGGTCAGAGATTCTCTGGCTCTGCTTCGCAAGAGCACCTTGACTGAAAGGGAGACGGTCCAAGGTAGTAGAGCAGAGTGTATGTGTGAGCGACGCAAGCAAAATAGAAACAAATAAAAGATAGACCGACAGACGGACGAACCTACGGACAGACCGATAGGCAGAGGCAGACAGTGACAGACAGGGACCTTGCTATCTCTGGTTTTCTTAAAATGATTTCGCTTAACCCCTCACGCTTCAACTCCTCTATCTGCACCCGACAGTGTCGCATTGCCTACAGGTGCCTGAGCACTTTCCACGGTGTGGGGGAGGGGTCCCGTGTGACTGGCACATGGCAAGGGGCCGATGAATTACCAGCGCTACAGCTGGTCATGGTATCGGGAATATGATTTCTATCTAGATTAGTAGGCTGGCATATGATTGTGCGCACCTTTGTGCGTGGCATTGCAATTACGGCTTCTCCTAGTTACTTCCTAGTTGTTGATATTACACTTATGGCTAGCGTTGCCATTGGTATCATTGCACTGACGCCTGTTTCAGTACTAGAACTATTATACAAAGATATATATATATATATATATATATGTGTGTATATATGTATAAAGCAACATATACATGCATCAATGAATGAATAAATACATATATATATATATATATGTATATAGACACATATGTAAGTATTTTTCACAATATATTCTTACCGCTGCTAGCAATTCCCGGTTCTATTCCGACTCTTCCTAGGTCGCGACCTTTCGCATCTCCACTACCAAGTAGTATGCATGTAGGGTAGCCGGGTCGGAGAAGCCTTGGCCCTTGGCGTTGTGGAAGCCCAAGGATCTGGGAGAACATCGGAGTGACGGTGCCGGGAACCTATCAGGCGGCTTGGAGAAATTTAGGGTTTAGA